ACCCAGTGAGCATCATTGAATGACAATGAACAACACAGCACCTGTCCTGCTTTTCAAGTCCTATTCTGAGGTGTGTGCCTTGCATGCATTGGTGGGTTTCCTCACACTTCTTCCCAAGAGATCAAAGATGCCACTCGGTAGCTAGGAGCTCGGATATTGGGGGCTGAGGCCCAACAAGTTCTTTAAAACCCATGTGCCCAAATGAAAACACACTCAACTTTATTGCCATGAGGAGGGCTCTCAAATGTGTGATGGTGCAGCTCAGTGTAAGAGTGGAATCAACAAAAAGAGGGACAGTGGAGCTTTTTGGCGGTTTGGGGAAACAAGGAATTGCTCCAACTTTACAAAATGGCAAGACTATCATACGATAAACGGCACTATTACTACATAGAAAGCTGCGAAGTGTTTTTCTGGTCTTTGAGTTGGTGTGTGCTAAAAAATCTCAACCTGCTGCTTAAAAATTACTGTTTTGTTAGCTGCTGATACCACATGGCTGCTGCTGTTCCCCGGTTGCCAACAGAAATGGGCTGTGCTCCACCTGCCTCTCACCTCCCCTGCCCTAGTGTCTTGGGCAGACACCATGTGATAGGGACCAGGATATTGCTCTATACCCTGGCCATTTTAAAGGAAGAACCTATCCTACTATCAAAAGCAAGTGTCAGGGGTTCCTGGGGGGTTCAGTGGAGTAAGCGTCTGACTTCAGCTCAGGTCCGTTGGGCTCTGTGTTGACAGCTGAGAGTCTGGAGCCTGCTTCCGATTCTGTGTCTCCCTCTCTCTCTGCCCCTCCCCCGCTCACACTGTCAAAAATAAACAATCATTAAAAAAAAATTGAAAAATAAACCAAGTGACAGATAACTTGAGATTTGAATGACCTAGTTTAGACTATGAAAATAGGGGCCTTTACTTTCAGGCGTGAGCACTGGATATATTTTCCAAAGAACAGGTCAGTCAGCAAGATGCTTCCTCAGTTTCGGCTTCCCAGTCCCTTGCCCTGTTCCTCTGGAGCCTGATGGGTGCTCCAGGCCTATGGCTGGGCCAAGGGAAGCAGGAAATGGCACATGGTGGCTGTGCTGCACCCCTCTGTGAATGACATACTTGAGTCTCAGTAGAACCCCTATGTCTACCAGGTCTGTAGTTAGCGCTTGGATTTGGTGTCCATTTAAATATGCCTGCTGCTAGCTGTTTAATCTGGAATCAAAACAAGAAGACAAGTCGGGGGGGGGGGGGGCGGCGGGGAACACAGCAAATGCAAGATCTCTGTGAACCTGACCCGGGAGATTAGCTTGACCGGGGGGCAAGATTAGGTCTTAAATCATTTTTGTAAGAACAAGAGCAGGAAAATAAAAATCACATCAGGAAATATTTGAGTCCATATAGGTAATTACTTTCTGCTTAATTAAAATGTCCCTGTCAATAGCATAATTTGAAATTGGAGGGCTTAAAATACAAATTTCAAAACCTTTGCCTTCTGATCAAGAGTGTGCAAAGCTTACAACCTTGGGCAAAATCCAATGCACTGCCTGTTTTTGTACATAATGTTTCACAGCCACACCATCCATGTTTCAGAATTGTCTGCAGTGGCTTTCATGCTGCAACAGAGTTGGGTAGTCGCAACAGATACTCTGGCCCCCAAAGCCTGAAATACTGTCTGACTCTTAACCAGAAGAGTTTGCAACCCCTGCTTTTGATAATTACTCACAAGCTGACCTCTCTCCCTTTCAATGCAGGGAGGGGCTGAGTGGACAGCCTGCATGCCCCAGGGAGCAGTTTTTGTTGTTGTTGTTGTTTTGTTTTGGTTTCAAAAAACAGACCTGTGAAATCAGAATCTCTGGGATTGGGGTCCATAGTGGTATTTGTTAAAGCTGTGGGGTGGAGAACCAGGATGCTGTAACAAAAAAAAGAAGAAGAAAAGAAAGAAAGAAATGGTGGCTGCTGGAGTTTCTCCAATTCTCCTGCCTCAGCACTTTGCCCCTTTCCCCCACAGCCCTGTGCACCAGAGTCCACTGAGTCATTAAAGCCCCTTGTAGACTGAGTGGCCATAACTCAGTTAGATGATGTACCCCACTGGCTGCCAGCCCTCACTGCACATTGGAATCACTGTGGAGTTCATAAAAAAGCCCAGTGTCCTCTACCTCCTCCATTCAGGCCTAAAGCCATTAGGTGACTGTGTATGGGTGTGGGATTGAGAGTGGGGTAGGCTGCAGTAGGGTGAGAATGGCATCTGTGCAGACTAGGGGACAGCTTGGTAACACAGCCCCAGCAGAGTGAGTAGGGTGCAGATGGGAGATTGGTTACATACAGGGGATTAACCAAATGAGTGAAAATATGAAGGACAGTGGAAGCCAGGTTTGTCACAATTGGAAAAGGGAGTTACAGGGGCACCTGGGTGGCTTAGTTGGTTAAGTGTCTGACTTCAGCTCAGGTCATGGTCTCATGGTTCGTGACTTTAGCCCCACATTGGATTCTGTGCTGACAGAATAGAGCCTGGAGCCTGCTTCAGATTCTCTCTCCCTCTGCCCCTCCATCGCTTGTGTTCTCTCTCTCTCTCTCAAACCAAACCAAACCAAACCAAAACAAAACAAAACAAAACCCAGATACAAATGCAGAAAGGGAGAAAATTAGAATCAACTCTATGGTGTGCTGGTATTTGGGAATTGGATGTATTAATGTGAACTCACATGTACAGGTAGATGTGTTTGTGTGTGTGTACATACAAATATATACAGACCTGTGTACATATATCCACATGTATGCATTCCCTGTTTTGCCTCCTGAGAGGATCTGGGGGCAGTGATGCTGCAATAGCAATGGGCATATTTATCACTCAGATCTTTGCTTCTAAATACCATTTTCCACTAAAAGGAACAAAGAATTCTTAGACAAATGTCTGCATTTCCAAGCACTGGGACTAAGGACTGGGGGGTAGAAAAGAACAAAATGAGCCTGAAACACTTCTTTGTGAAAGAAAATGTTCACACAATGATGGAGACATATCAAAAGGATGCAGAAACCAGCTTGAATGCGCCCCAGGGCCAAAACAGGGACAATTTGAGTGTGAAAATTAGTCATGAGACTAAGGGATTATAACCCACTGAATAAAACAGGACACTACAGGTTTATATTGCTATAAATTGAAAAATCACTAAGTGGAAGGTTTAATGAGAAATAGGCAACTCACATATTTATAAAGCACCTACCTATAGAATGCTTAATTACCAAAGGGGGGATTGGCTGTGGAGAAGGCTGGCAGACACTCCCTTGATCAAGTGACCCAAGTGGACATCTTCGGTATAGGACAAATTGAAATCCTCACCACCGACAGGATGCAATGAGAAGGGTGCATCACTTCTGCAACATCCCTGCCAAAAGAAGTGCCTGTGATATCCCGTTAAATTCATGACCAGAATTTTGTCATGAAAATGTATCAAGCTCAAGCTGACGGCTAATTTGCAGAATCTTCAAGTGTCAAGGTCACACAAGTCAAGGAAAGTTAAAGACTGTTCTCAACTAAAGGAGACCAAGGAGAGTTGACGACCAGATCCAATGTAGGATTCTGATCTTGATCCTTTTGCTATGAAGGACCTTGTCAGAACAATCAGTGAATCTTGAATGGGGCCTGCCCATTCGACAGTGGCCAGGTATCAACATCATAATGTGCCATGTTACAGTGTGGCAGTGTAAATAATGGCAGCGTAAATACCCTGAGTTTCATGGTTGTACTGTAAAAGGGCAGTGTGCTAGAGCACTGCCTCTCAAACTCGGGTACATAAACCACCTGGGGATTTTCCTAAAATGCAGATTTGGATTCAGTAGGTCTAGGTAGAGTGTGAGCTTCTGCCTGTCGGAGCAGCTCCGAGGTTAAGACCCATGCTGCCTGTCCAGAGCAGTTAGTAGTAAGGGCCCAAGGAAACCTGGGGTGAACATTTACTATTTGCCTCCCACTCACCTTCCTCCCTTTTTTGGTCCCAGACTCTGGTGTTTCCTTTGGGAACAATCTGCTCCCCTTGGTGTTCCTGTTTTGGATCAGATGGTCCTCAGTGCCCAGGCAACGAAGCACGTAACCTGGGTGTCATCTATCCCGTACCCTGGCCACTGTGAAAGGTTCAACACTGGTCCTCAGACCCAGCCAGGGCCAGTGAGAGGCAACTCTGAGAGGCCTGGCTGAGCTCACACAGCCTCTACAACCATCTTCATCTTTTAGAGCCTTCTTAGAATTTCCAAGCCTTACAGTGGCTCAGGACTTGCCTTTTGCCCTCCAACTCCTAAAGGCCTCCAAGGCTTTCGAACCCCCACACTGGACTCTACCACATAGTAGCCATGTGACTTTACCTAGCAAACTGAATTTTTGCCTCAGTTTCTTCATCTATAAAATGGGATACCACCCCTCAAAGGGTTGAGAATTCTAGGATACCCCTCCACATAAGTGTTTTGAGCTGTCCCTGGTATAGATCAGATGTTCAATAAATCTTTAATTGTTCAGTTTGGCTTTTGGAGCCCATGATCCCACACAAAAAGAATGGCATCTCACTGGTATGTTTTAGGTCATCTTCTGTATTGAGAGTGACTTAACACAGAGTTTGAGGATCCTGGAAGACGAGGCCAAACATTTTGCTAGGCATTGTTATTGATTCCTATGGATCCTACCAGTTCTCACACAGCCTACTCAATTCATTCCTAACTCGCTCCCATCTTGCACTGAGTTGCCTATATAAATACATACGAAAAGGAAATAAATTAGCAACATTGTAGATGTCCCCAAGTATGGTTTTCATTCCCAGAAATCGCAAGCTCTGGCCAGTGATCAGAAATCCCCTTCCACTGTCTTTATTCTACTGCCATCCTGTGGCCAGCCTGTGCCACTGCACATTGAGGGCTGGTGTAGCTGAGCTCCCTGTGCTGTCCTCCTGGTGCCCGGGATGGGGCTCCTTGGGAGGAAGGAAAGGAGTACAGTTGAAGGGTCTTCTAGAGTCCCCACCAGCAAGCAGCAGTCTGGGCATGAATCACCAGTCTTGACTGGACTTCTGTTTGATGAATCTCAGGGCCACATAGTACAGGATCACAAAGCCACCACTGATGCCAATAAGGATGAGGTAGGTGACGTAGAGCGGGTATGAGTTCAGGCCCATGGAGCTGAGGATCTGGGGACACAGACATCAGTAAACCCACTGAGAAGACGTTCAGATGAATGTTATCTTTTTAGAGTCAAAGGCCTCAGCTACTTACTACGTCTCCCCGGATAGGGATGGTGAGGTTGCCGACAGCCATGTGGTAAGTGTGCCCTTTAAACTGAATCTGCATCAGCCCTTCAAAACACCAGCGGAGGAAGGAGACTTTGGAAATCCAAGCGGGCACTGAAAATAGCGAGACTCATGTTATTCACATAGGCTAACCACCTGCTCCCTGGGAAACACTCCTGGAGACGGGGCCCTGGTGGCTCTTACGCAAGGGCAGCAAGGTTCCCGAGGGAGCAGGAGGGCAGGGAGAGGGCAAAAGGGCAAGAGGGGCAGCTTGGGACATGGATTGGGACAGAAGGGCCAAGTGGCTACAGGAGTCACCACATGTTTGATTGGTAACAATTTGAGAGAGTAACTTATTAAATGTCCCAGCATGTTCTCAGCTCCATGGAGGTACAACTGACATTTCTGAGTCTGTACCCTGACCCGATGGTGGTATCACAGAGCTAGGAGTAGGAGGAAGGAAAAAACTTGGCCGGAATGGTCAGGAAAGGCCTGGCAGAAGAGAGCAGCTGTGGAAATGGGGGAATGGCGCCCTACAGAGAAGAGCCTCACAGGCTCAGATGTGAGTGCATGGAGGGTGTTGGGGACTTCAGAAGAGCTAGGTGGAGGCAATGCAGAGTCAGCAGCCCTAACTAGAGGACTCAAGCAAAGCAGCAACATGGATTTCCGCCTTACAAAAAGCCCTTTCCATGGGCAAGGGTCGAGAGGGATGTGGAAGGATCAGGGTCACAGAGACCATAGCTGTGGTCTGACACCAGACAGTAAGGCCAGGGCTGGGGGAGATCAGGCAAGGCGACATCTGAGAAAGATGTGGGAGGCAGAATTGACCTGACTCCCAGGTGAATGTGGAGAGTGAGAGTCAAGGGTGGCCTCCAAGTGTCAGCTGAGGGATATGAGAAGGTGCCATCTGCACCCTCTCATGGAGACATTCCTTTGACACGCAGGACAGTTGGCAAGGATACCTGCTCCCAGAAAAAACAGGCTTTAAATGGATCTAAGTGATGAGTCCTCATCCCCAAGTGAATATAGGCTTCATCCAACCCCGGAAGGCCTCAAAAAGCTTGACCAGGGGAGGGGAGCACGCCTTACCTATCCACAGGTTATCCAAGCTTATCATGAAGCCCCCGGTGAGGTAGAAGGAGTTGTAGAGAGCATTCCCAAAGAAGGAGGATGTATGAAATGTGGGGAGCAGGGCAGCGGCACCCAGGGCCATGATCCTGCAGCAGAAGACCACCAGCCACACCAGCAAGAAGTGCAGTAGAAAGGGCTCCAGGCCCGGGCGCAGGTTAGCCAGCCAGTAGATGGGCATCCCATAGATTATGATGTAGACACAGTGCTCTGGAAGCTCCCCTAAGATCTGCAAAGAATAGCCCTTGCAAGGACGTGGAGCTAATGCCTTCATTGCCAATTGTTCTTTAAGAGTTTGAAGGTAGTGTAACCCTCAAGGATGTCAACCCTCCCTCCTGCTAATAGCCAGACTGAAGCAGGAGGGCCCGTGAGGGGCCCATGGGACCCTGGAACATGAGCTCACTGCTGGTTTCCCACTGCAGATGCCACGTGCTCCATCTGGGAGAGTTCAGAACAGTTTCCCCCGCGGAAGCAGCGTGGCCTGGTGAAAATGGCAGTTGTGTATCTATTCTCCTGTTTCAAAGTCCCCACCCTGCCTGCCCAGACCAAATAGCTGTGGGGCTTTGAGACAGCTGCATAACATTTCTGAGCCTCCACTTCCTGGAAGTAAGTACAGTAACACCTGCTGACCTGCTTCCTGGAGATGTGGGGAGACTGGAGAGGTAAAGTATGCTGGATGTTTCCCATCTTTTCTTTTCTTTTTTCAGATTTCTGCTGACCAGGAAAGTGTCACTCTTGGTCTACAGTCCTGGTCTTCGGGTAAATGTTTAAAAAATAGCAAGTCTCTGTAACCCCCTAGGGAACATGACAGCAGCAAGCATAGATGATGCATGGCCCCTGGTTCAGCAAAATACTACTCTGGAGCTTCTGTACAATGCAGTGTAGCTTTCTCTGTCCCTGCCCCCCCCCACCTGGTAACTTGCTCTCAGCCCTGACCAGTCACCTTGGTAAAGAAATATGGACCAGCAGTGTACAGCCCGTCTTCTAGTTCATAGTAAAGCATTGCCCTCTCTGAGTGACCTAAAAACGGGGAGAAAAGGAGAATGAAAAAGTGACATTAATTTTCAGTGTTTCTGTTTTCGAGTCTCTTTTAGCACATTTGTAAATATTCCTGTGGCCTAAATGTGTCCTATTTTTAAAAAGCAGGCAGAGTTAAACCATCCTAATTTAAGGTGTTTGTAATTCTGTAACTTCTGAACTGCTGTCAAATATAAATCCCGCTATTATAGGAATGTCTAATACTGTTTGGCAATCTGTGTTCATTTGCATACTAATATTAATGTGCGAACCTTAAAAATCATCATCTTCTTTTATTTCACAATCATGGTGAAAACAGTCAGCAAACCCATTCTCCCCAGGAGTTTGGAGGAACAGAGGTCGGCCTTGGACCAGCTCAGAGGGGTGACTACCACCGTGTCCTCTGGTTGCTCCGGGTGTGGGTCACAGAGAGCAAGGCACACTCACATTTGGATATGACATCCAGAATCACGTTGAAAGGGATAAGAGCTCCAATCATGAACAAGAGGGCAGCTGTGTCCATAAAGGAGAGCTTGATGGCCCCATGGCCATAATAGAGGAACCCAATGACCAGGGACATCAGGCAGGCCTCTGCTGCATGGATGAGGAGAGTTGGCAGGTCTCGGAAATCGTTGAAAATCTGACGACTTAAAAAACAAGAGAGGTGCCAAGGGAATAACATACACCAGCCCCGTGACACTAGCAATGTCCTTCCGTCTATGCAGGGATGAAAGCCTCACTTTACTCTCTCATAAAATGGGGGAATAGCAGTACCCAATAGCAGTACCCCCCTCGCAAGGATTCTGAGGCTCAAATGAGATCGTGGATGAAATCATCTGTCTCACCGTATGTATATAATAAATAATTGTTACTTTACTGTCAGTGTATCAGCCTTGCAATTTTACTTAAACACATTATCTTAAGGAAATAGTGTGTAAAGATGCACCTACAAGGAAGTTTCTTGCAGTGTTACTTGTCATAGCATAAGCCTGAAAAAAATCTGACCATCAATATACAGTTTGCAGGAAAATGAATTATGGCTAGATTGGAATGCTGAGGAAGACCTAACCGGATGACAGGTACAGGCCTATTCTATGTGCAACCAAAAACAAAAAAATGGTTACAGAACCATATGCAGAGTATGATCCCACTTATGAATTACAATGCTTGTGTGCATGGGAATATCACCCACCAAACACTTGGGTCTCGTTTACTCTGAGGGCTGGCCTAACAGGAAACCTTCTCCTTCCACTGAGGTTCTCTTGTATTGTCTGAATTTTTCATAATGATCCTATGTAATTTCTACAATCATTCAGCCAGTAAGAACATTTTGATTTTGTTTAAAGAATAAAAGTAACAGGAGTGTTCTGTATTATACAGAGAGAGCTAGTGCTAGTCTTGACGATACTGGTTTTTAAAAATTCTACCTTTTGCTTTCTCCTTCAAATTCACTTTATATAGAAAGGGCTTAATTTGACACAATAAAGAGGTCTGGGATAGGGGAGGTGGTGGTGGGATGAAATGGCAGATAATTACCGGATCAGCATGGTGAACTGCTGCACAGGGCCAGGCAGCTCAGTGGAAGTCAGGGGCTGGTGAGTGTCCTGGGGGAGGGCCTGGCTGTCAAGAGGCAGAGGGTGTCATGGGACATGGGGGCGGCTGCCTTCTGCAAGGAGCTCTCCACCCAGAGCCGCCCTGGCCTGCCTTACCTCTCCAGGCAAGTGCCCTCACCCAGCTCCTTTGCCTCCGCTCTCCACAGAAAGTCATCGAAGCCACGAACTTTTTCTTGGAACACGGCTGCAAGGGACCAAGCCTTCTCCCTGGTGGCCACTTCCTGTTCTCTGCTTCGCCTGTCGATGCTAGTCAAGTCCACTGTAAGTAGAGGATGTGGGGCCATGTGTGGCCAGGTCTCTGCACCTGCTCACAGGTGAGGAGCTCACTGCAAGGCCAGCTCACAACACTGGTCAGCCCTTGGAGGTTCTGGGACATGCTCCCCACCCTGTGAGGGTGGACCATGAAGTGATGGGAAAAGCAGAGAGAGGCAGAGAGATACCCAGGGCTGGCCTCCCCCGTGCTGGGCCTAGCCACATCCACTTCAGGGGAAAGCTTGCTTCAGGGAAAAGGCAACAGCACAGGCCCTGTGGGCCCTGGCCTCCATCCCAACACCCAGGCTCATTATGGGGACATCCCTAGGACAGGACAGGACGCAGTGGGCCTTTGGAGCCAAAGGTCATGGCACAGTTATGCCTTGACTCCAGCTCAAGTCATTAAAGCTTGTGACAGGGACTCAGCCTTCCAGGTGTGCCTTCTACCCATGAGGGGAAGGGAGGCTGGCCATAGGACAGCTGGGAAGTCTGGGCACTGGGAAATTCTAGTTCTCACTGTAGATTAGTAATTTGGCTCCCTAAGCAACCTGTCTAGAAGGGGAGAATGTTTTGGCTGGAGGTTGCCAATGTCTGGCCAACTCTAAGCAGAGCTGTCACCGCCCTCCAGGGGAAGGAGCTGGCATGACCAGCTGGAGAACCAGGCTGCTGTGCACCCACCTCTATGTTACTTGTGGGGAGCATCTGGTAGTCCCAGCCACAGCTCTACTCTCATGGGGCTCCTGCGATGTCAGAAAGGCACATCCACCCAGTCACCACTAGGACCCTCCTGAACCCAGCCTCACTGCAGGCTGGAGGGTGGCTCACCTCCCTCCATTTCTCCTCTTAACCTCTGTCTCTTCCTTCCTACCATTTTCATGACATGTCCCATGGCAGCATAATGTCTAGGAGCGGTCTTGTAAAATGCAACATGTCTCCTCGATGTGCGGGGCTGTAGATCAGAACACCAGATTCTCTGGGTACTGCCAGGCCCTGTACCCCAGATTGGTAGGTGGTAGGCAAGAGCCCCCCACCAAAAGTGATAAAAATATAAAATAAAGAAAAACTTCTGTTCAGGTCTGTTCTAGGCATTTGACTTCTGGTAACCCCGCTCTGGAGTTACTGCATGTTACTCCCATGGCCAGGTTGACAGATGCCCTCTGCCCCCTTTATCTGGAAATGGCTAGCCTCAGGATGATACGCTGCCAGGAAGCCAAGCTGGCTCGTGAGCACTGGGAGGGAGGGTGACCTCTATGTGAGTTCACACGCTGTGAGTGCACAGGGGAAGGGCTGGCAGACTGGAGAGAGTCCCCCTGGGGTGGGGAAGAGCACTGGATGCTGACAGGAGGATGTGGGCCCAGGGCCAGGAGTCAAGTTGGGGGCTGGACACACTGGCTGGGAGTCCCAGTTCTGCGTCTTACAAATTCTCTGCCAAAGGTTTAACTCTTCAGACTTCCGTCTTCTCATCTGTATGGATGGAAATGGCCTTGGCCTGACAGGGCTGTGAGAGTCAAAGGGACACCCTCTGTAGCTTGGTGCCTTTGGGCCTAATGTCTGCCCTCAAGGACATGGTCCCTGTTGTCATGGTTATTGGTGAGGCCTTGCTACACTGGGCCATCTTGGGAGGAAGGCTGGGGCTCCAGGTGACATATTGGACAAGCCACAGCTACTGTCTCCCCGCCCCCTCCCCCCAGCCGCCCTGGTAAAGCTGTGTGGCCTGGCCAGCAGCCATGGCACGCCTCAGCATTCAGGGTCCAGGGATCTGCTTTCAGGTCACACACCTGTAAAGGCAACTATCTCTCCAGGAATGAAGGAACTATCTCTCCAGGAACTAGCTTCCGCTTTCCCTGAGGGCTGTATGATTGAGGGCTCAGGACCCTCAGCAGGAAGGCCTTTCTGGGGGTGACAAAGCAATTTTCAGACCTAGTGCCTCATTGACCAAGACCTCCAAAAGGCCCTGAACTCTCCGGGCCCTGGGGTCCCTCCACCATGCAGTGCTTTCAGGCTCCCTGCCTCTGTGGGGGCACCAGGGCACAGCTTGAAGATTTCCTGGTGGCCTCCTAACCTTAGGTATCCTAAATTTCCCTAAAGAGTCTGAATAAAGACCACAATTCTAGAAAATTGATCCAAACCCTCTTGAATTCTATCCCCCCATCACCCGCTTTGGAACTCACAGGTTTCTTATCATGCACACAAGAGTGGCTATGTCAGAAGCAGGATTTTCTTGGGCCCTTGTTTCTAGTATTTGATACTCGGCAAAGTGACACACATTCTCCAGCCCGCTGGGCCGCCCTGCTCCTATATCCTACTCCCCTGAAACCTCTGAGAGCTTCCCTCCGAAGCTCTCCATCAGGCCCTGGTGGGGCTTCGGGGGGAGGAGGGATGGGGGCGCTGCTTGGGGGCTCACCATAGAAGTCTGCAGGGTTGCTGTAGCGAGGACAGGGGTGGCCGATGGCTGTGAAATACTGCACCATGTGCTGGGCTGCCCCCAAGTAGATGGTGGTGCCGGACGTCATCAGGAGGACCAAATCAAAAAGCCTGAAAATGTCAGACCGAGGCTGGTGGAGGGAGATGAGCACCAACCGGTTGCCTTTGGCCAGGCGGTACAGCGTTTTCACCAGGTTGTGGGCCGTGAAGCTGTCGAGGCCGGAGGTGGGCTCATCCAGAATGAGGATTCCTTCCCAGCGGAGACAGGGGCCTAGTGAGCCGGCAGGACTGTGGCCGGTGGGAGCCAAGCCACTGGGGCGCCTCTGTCCAGCCTCCTCCCCGCCCCCTCACCTGGGTTCCACAGGAGCTGCACCGCGATGCTGACTCTGCGCCGCTCGCCCCCAGACACGCCCCGCACGTACGCGTTGCCCACGCGCGTGTGGGCGCACTGGCGCAGGCGCAGCTCCGCAATCACGTCGTCCACCTGCGCGGGAGGACCCAGCTTTAGGCGCGGCGCTGCCCGCCTCGCTCCGGGTTACGTGGGTGCTGTCCTGGAGTAGAAAGCGGCTGCCCACCCTTGCCCCCCGCCCCACCCCCTCCGGGTGGGTTTGTGCTGTAGGCTTCGCTGCCCCATGCAGTGTTTGCTCCCGCATTTTTTTTGCATATCCTGACTGGCTCTCACGCGCCGAGGGCGGCGCCATGTTGGGAACGTGGCCGCGACCTGGGGACAGGACAGCAGGGCACTCTGCCCACACGGAGGACCGGAAAACAGGTAGACACTCCTCTCACATTTTGTCCTGTGCGGTGAAGGGACCCGGCCAGGGCGTAGGCGGCTTACAGAAGGATGTGGGGTTTAAAGGCGGACAGAGGGCAGGGTACCGATGGAAGGATGGCGAGCTGGGCTGCTCAGAGTTGACCTGTGACTGGGCCCTGAGGCAGGGGGGGAGGGTCGACAGGGGGAAGGATGTCATGGCTTCTTGGGGTCACCAGAGTCAGGCAGTTACCCTTTTGTCACGCTGGGCCTGGGAGAAGGTTCTGGGCAGGCGTAGCTGGGCAACAAAAGCCAGGGTCTCGCGGACGGTTAGGTTGGGGAGCAGGTGGTCGTGCTGGCGCACGTGGGCCACATACTTCCTCACGAGCTGAGGCGTGCTGGGCTGCCCGTTGATCCAGATTTGACCTGACTTAATTTTGCCGCCGTGGCCTCTCCCGGTGATCACGTCCAGCAAAGAGGCTCTCCCACACCCTGCGAAGCCACCAGAGACCTCCTGAGAGCAGAGCTGCGGGGGCTAGCCTGGAAGCCCTGGCTGCCCGCACACTCTTTCAGCCACCCTGGACTTCTCTGTCCTTTCAGAAGTGACCAAGGCCCTAGAGAAAGTGGCACAGCTCTTGGACCCGGATGGGTCAGCCTCAGCACCTGGAGCTCCAGGGCTTTCACCTGCAGCCATCTTGAGCACCTTTGGGGAGCTGGAGGTACATTAATGTCGGGGGTTCAAGCCGCTCAACTAGCGGATCCAGGCTCTGAGATGGCAGGGGACTTTGTCAGTATTCACAGGGACACTGGGATTCCCAGTCCCAAGTGGGAAGTCCACTTTCCTAAACAGCACTTTAGGAGAGGTGTGGGTGGCCTTTGCTGTGGAGACCGCCTAGTGCAACTGGAGAGACCTTCCATGAATCAGGAGAGAACACCAAAGGCATTCAGTTGGCTGGAATCTCCAATTCCGTAAACTTCTTCATTGGCAAACACTGCTGCCACTACTGCTGATTCTACAGAAGCAGCCAAAATGCCTGAGGCTGTTTGGATTTATTATAAATTATGATGAATCTTCATTATTTGTTTTATTTGTTAAGCCTCAGGAAGTATAATTGATAAGTTATAAGTTTTAAATTTAACTTTATAAGTTTTTATAAAAAAAGTTTTTATAAAAGTTTATAAATTAACTTTTTAATTTAACTTATAAGTTTAAAAAAAAAGTTTATTTATTTTGAGAGAGAAGAAGAAAGAGAGCACAGGAGGGACAGTGAGAGAGGGAGAGAGAGAGAATCCCAAGCAGGCTGCACACTAGTGGTGCAGAGCCTGATGTGGGGCTCGAACTCACAAACCATGAGATCATTGCCTGATCCAAAACCAAGAGCAGCTGCTTAACTGACTGAGCCACGCAGGTGCCCCTAATTGATAAGTGTTTCTAAGCAATCATTTAAATAATTTCAGTCAAGTAAATCTGAAGTTAAACAACACTGAACCTAGAGTCAAGAGTCCTGGAGACTGCTCAGCCTCTCCAAACTTCACTTGCCTCAGGGATGCTAACAGCTGCAGAGTCCTGTGTAGCGAGTATTAATTGTGGGGACTCTTAGGCTTTATGGAAGTGCCTTGGAAGGCCCGTGTATCTCCCAGATTCTCAGTTCATGAAGAAAAGCAAATATAACAGGAAAAGCCACCAGGAGTTACAAACAAAAACAAAATTGGCTTCTGAAGTGTCTGTTTTCTTTTTTAGATAAGAATTGCAGAGGCAGAGCCAAAAGTGGGCAGGACTTGACCTATGGTGTTATTTCAGTTACAAAGTGCATTGACATACATTATCTTGTTTGATCTTTGGTTAGACAATAAACAGAATTTTCTTATCGGAAGACTAAAAAATTGGAGATGTTCAAAAGTTCAGTAATCTTTACTTCTGGAAATGATTAATTAAAAAGAATAAAGTGTTCTGTCTAACACCATCTAAAAGAGAAACACCTTGATATGAGAATCAGAAGACCAAAGTTCTAGTTCCAGCTCTGCATTAAATGTATGCCCTTAGGTGAATCACTCACTTTGTCTAGACTTTAGTCTCCCCCTCTGTTAAATGAAGGTGTTCATATGTTGGGGTGAGGGACAGGAGGACACTCTAGAAATACTGAGGACCAGATAACTTAAAAACCCTCCATTAAAGAGGCTTCCAGACTGGTAAGGAGAAAGAAATAATACAGTGGAGAGAGTGAACACCATTCTCCAAGACCCCTTTCAGCTTTAGCATTGCATAATTTTAAGTTTGGCTTGCAGAAGTCACTCTGAGGCACTCCAAGATTCTGGATCTTTGCAGATGGTTGAAGGCTGCACTAAGACTTGGAGGGACTCTCAAAGAAGTGGGAGCTGTGGTGGGTGCTGTGCCTACCAGGTTGTGGGAGAAGAGTGAATGAATGCCCCTGGCATGGAAGAGTCCCCTGAGAAGAACATTCAATTCTGAAGATCTTAGAAAGGTTTTTGCTCTGGATGCAGCTTCAAGAGTCACACTCATGATTCATAATGATGGCAGCTATCTGACAGCTAGTAAATGGAGGGACTTGAACTGGGATTTGAACCCAGGTCCACCTGACCCAGAACCTGTGCTTCTCACCCAATCTGCTGTGGTTATTCTACTAGTCAGCAAAGAATTCTGTGAGAAGCATCCATCTGTCTGAGGGACCATTCTGCATTCCAGAAGAGACAGAACCCATCGCCTCACTGTTTGCCCTTAATGGTACCTGAGCTCCCTATGATGGCCAGCATCTGCCCACTCCTCACTTTGAAGCTCAGATTTTGGATGCCCAGCTCACAAGAATCCTTGTGAGATGCCCAAGGCATCTTGAATTGAGCCAGCTTCTCAAACCAGGGCACCTGGGAGTCCATGTCCACCTGTGGGGAGATATTGCAAGGTTCTTCAGAGGGCTGAATAGAGGGTTTCAGCAACTTCTGTTCAACTGTACAGAAGACATCCTCCTGCTGTTGCAGAAAAGGCCTAAGGGGCCCCCACCTACCATGCTGAGAACCTGAAGCTGCCATTTCCAAGTCTGAAGTTAAGACATGGGAAGCATGTGTAATAGCAGAATGGAAATGAAAACATAAAGCAAAACAGTGTCTTCAGTTCTTCAGTTAATGATAATTTACTAATGATTTGTTAAATGTTTATTACGTGCAAGGCATTGTGTAAATCTCTTTCTATTATCTCATTCAGTCCTCCTTGCAGACCTATAACATAGGTACCATTATAATCGCTGTTTTACAGGTGAGGCTCAGAGCAGTTACTTTTTCAAGGTCGCACAGCTAACAAGTGGCAGAACAGAAAATGCTTATGGTGAGGCTCATTAGCTTGTCCTAATTCACATTCACAGGAGGCCAGAGTTGGGCCTCTGAAGTTTACCATTCTGCCCCCCGCAGCGTATTCCATCTGAACTGCCAGGGGTCTACCCCCAAGGAGGTCTGGTAAATGGGGTCTTGAATCTGACCAGGGGGGCCTTCAGAGCCTCTGAAAGGCCAGGAGTCCTTGCACTTTGGATCTTTTATTAGCTCCAGGGACAGTGTACTTTGCAAGCAAACAAATAACAAAACACGAAGCTGGTGAAACCTGAAAGTCTATAGTTTAGTGAAACCTGAAAGTCTGTAGTTTAGCGAATAGCGTCACGGCATTGTTAATTTCTTGGTTTTCATTATTTTGCTCTGGGTATGCAAGATGTTAACATCAGGGGAAGTTGGGCAAAGGTTACATGGAAACTCTGTACTGTTTTTGTAACTATCCCAAAAGTCTAAACTTACTTCAAAATCTGAAGTTAAAGTTGGAGAGATTTGTTTTTTCCCCAACAGGGTCACATAATTTCTTTATGTTTTAACAGAGGTCTTTTCTCTAATGCCTCTCAACTTCCAGCTACAGTATGTATAGCTGAAGGAAGTCTTGAGGTACTTTCACCCAACATGTGAGGCATCAGCTTGGCAGAGGGCCCTCAGGATGGGCTCACCCTTACCTTCCACTTGGGGAATCATTTGGCCTTCCCTGCCCACTCCTCCCACCTTGTCCTCAGGTATGCCTCTACCTGGTAGCTGAGATCCTGGACCTCCAAGGTGTTGGACTGGCCACTGTAGGTGAAGTATAGGCTGTTGTCATTTTCAGAGGAGAACAAGCTGTCCTGGAGGCCCTGCTGAGAAACATGACAGGTGAGGGGCTTCTTCAAAAGCCACTTAGGACTTAGGAGAAAACAGGGAGGAGACCCAAGAGGTGAGAGCTAGCAGCAGCTAGTGTGGTTGAGATCCTGAACTGGCAACATGGGTTTAAGCAGATAGAGCCCAAGGGCTCTGAGAAAATAGGAGCATCCGTGAGGGCAATCTTTTTTTCCCTTCAGAGGGAGCTTTGCGGCTTCCCTTTAGCACAGCTCCTGGCTCCAGAGAACCTCAACCCCAAATTGGTGGAGCCCGAACCCAGGCACCCTATGGTGGATGAGACCCAGACTCTGGACTAGAGAGAGCTTTGTGAGCTGCTATGCTTTGGGGAGACCTTAGCTGGGGCGTGTCCTTAACTTTTCTCTTCCCTGCCTCTGACTTACTATTTCCTGATGCCAAAGAGACTTCACATGCCTGGTATGTGAAGGGATACAGCTATCAAAAAACTAGTGTTCAATATTTGGAAGACACAATCCTTAGAAAAGTTGCATCTTGGGGCACCTGGGTGGCACAGTCGGTTAAATGTCCGACTTCATCCAGGTCACGATCTCGCGGTCCGTGAGTTCGAGCTCCACGTCGGGCTCTGGGCTGATGGCTCAGAGCCTGGAGCCTGTGTCCGATTCTGTGTCTCCCTCTCTCTCTGCCCCTCCCCTGTTCATGCTCTGTCTCTCTCTGTCCCAAAAATAAATAAACGTTGAAAAAAAAATTTAAAAAAAAAAAAGCATCTTATTCTAACGAAGAGTATTCTAATGAGGATGATTTTGGAAGAAGCACCATTGTTATGTCATCATCATTGTCAATATCTTGTTGCTGTTGTTGGAGTGATGTTGTATTTGTACATCAAGTAAATCGATGTTTTGTGATATCGCTGATACCTTTGAATGGTATTAGCTATCAGCATATCTAAATTCCTTCTATTTTATCAATTCAGTCATTTAAATTATTGAGGCTCCCCCAGAAGAAGAACCTGCCTACTAACATTTCCATTTTTATTTTATTATTTTTTTCATGTTTATTTTATTTTTATTTATTTTTTTTAATGTTTATTTTTGACAGAGAGAGAGAGAGAGAGAGAGAGACAGAGCATGAGTGGGGGAGGGGCAGAGAGACACAGAATCTGAACGAAGCAGGCTCCAGGCTCTGAGCTGTCAGCACAGAGCCCGACACGGGGCTCGAACTCACAGACTGTGAGATCATGACCTGAGCCGAAGTCAGACACTCAAAGCGACTGAGCCACCCGGGCACCGCTTTAATGTTTATTTTTGAGAGAGCGACAGAGCATGAGTGGGGAAGGGCAGAGAGAGAGGGAGACAGAATCTGAAGCAGGCTTCAGGCTCTGAGCTGTCCTCATAGAGCCTGACGTGGGGCTCAAACTCACGAGCCATGAGATCATGACCTGAGCCAAAGTCAGACACTTAACTGACTGAGCCACCCAGGTGCCCATCAGGTTTCCGTTTTTAAATGCATGCAATTTTTCCTTTTGTTTCTTAGTGCAGGAAAAAGTGTATTTTTTAACAAGTTCCAGTTGACCCCATGATGTTTCCTCCTCAGAGCTGCCACTCACGCACTGATGTGTTCAGTCAAGTAAGCAAGCAAGCATCCAATACTTATTGGGAGCCCACATGATGCTACAAGTTTGGAGTTTGGGATATGACAGTGAAAAAGATGGTTCTCTGAGAAACTTAAACTTTTTATTGAGGTAAAATTGGCATATAACATTATGTTAGTGTCAGGTGCACAACACAACAATTTAAGATTTGTGTACACTGCAAAGTCACTACAATATGTGTAGTTACCATCTGTCATCATGCAAAGAAACTTAGATTAAAAAAATTTTTTTTAGTGTTTATTTTTGAGAGAGAGACAGAGACAGAATGTGAGCAGGGGAGGGGCAGAGAGGGAGACCCAGAATCCAAAGTAGGCTCCAGGCTTTGAGCTGTCAGCACAGAGCCTGATGCAGGGCTCAAACCCACAAACCATGAGATCATGACCTGAGCCAAAGTCAGATGCCCAACCAACTGAGCTACCCAGGTGCCCTAGAAAAGCTTAGATTTTAATGAATGGGACAGGTGGTCAAGATGGAGCAAGACAGGCCAGGTGTAGAGCAGGCTGACCTCAAACATCCATTCAGGGTATGTTTATACTGTGTACACAATGCCTACATGTGCTTTGTGTGAAAATAAAATGACTTACATTATGTGAAAATAGCCTCCAAAAGTCTCTGTCAAACTTCCCCTGTAGTGGCAGAGGTCAGAAGTCCTTGGAAAGGACCACAGAAATGGAGGATCAATACAGTGATCATCTATGACAGTAACTATCAGTGAGTAGTCCCCAGAATTGCAGGGCAGTATGAAAACAGCAGACCATGGCTACTTATCTTATGATGTTAGAATTATTACCATAAAGATCCTAAATTATACAGAAGAAACTGGGAAACGTGAATACCTACTTTAGCAGAAGGGCTATCTCTGTGGAATAGAGAGGAATGCAAGAGAGAAGGGTACAGGGAAGAACGAGGGGAGTGAACTTCACAGTTCTTGGTAGTTAAGTTGCAGGTACATAAGAGTTCACTGTTTTTTCAGCTGATCTGAACTATCTCAAAGTTTGTTTTCCATCTAAGAGGATGAACCTTTGAGTAGAACTCCAGAGTAGTACTCCCACCTAGCCCCTCAAGTGCCAATGCCTCCAAGGCAGGAGCTGGCTATGGAGATGGAGGAGGGGTGAAGGTCTGTGCCCTCAGAGATGGAAAGGGAGATCTCTCCTGGGGGAGATCAAGGCCAGCTACAGAAGGTGCTGAATTTCAGGCAGGTCAACCCTGCACCTGACCCTTGCTCACCACTTCCACCACTAGCACTCACACTGCCTAGTTTCTCCATTTAATTCTACTAAACTGTCAGAAATTCTGGCAATTACTGAGAGACTCATTGAGCTAACATAAGATGCTTATTTGTTTGGTTATAAAAAGTAAACATCTGCAGGAGGGACATTAAGTCAATTGATATAAGATATGACTCAGCTCAGAAATTGCTTCTTTGAACTAACACCTGGCCAGGTTATATTTCAAGTGGAGGGGCAGCTAAGAAAGGGACATTGGACATTTTGGGCTCTGGAGCAATATGTGCAGGTGACCTAATGCCTGAGTGGGTTCCACTTTCCAGATAAGTGCTTTGGAAAGGTGGACCATGCTGGGGCCCTGGGGAAAGAGGTGTCACAATAGGAAGACAGATAAAAGGAAGGAAAGAGGTGCTCCCTGTTGCTGGGGGGTGGGCAGTACCCCCTCATCTTAGGCTAAGTAGGCTGGGCACAGGCAGCCAGGGACCTCAGCTGCCATCAAGGGACCATGACTTCTGGGTCACCTATAGTTGGTTAAGCAGCCGACTTTGGCTCAGGTCGTGATCTCCTGGTTCGTGGGTTTGAGCCCTGCCTCCAGCTCTGTGCTGACAACTCAGAACTTGGAGCCTGCTTTGGATTCTGTGACTCCCTCTCTCTCTGCCCCTCCCTGGCTCGTGCTCTGTTTCTCTTTCTCAAAAATAACGTTAAAAATAAAAAGGGGGGATTGTGATTTCCTGGAGCTACACATGCAGCACAACTTTCAGAGGAAGAGAATTCATTTCTGGGTTGGAGACCGCCTCTGCTCCATTTTTAAGTATTTCCTTGACTCCCAGGATGGATTTGTTAGGTTTTGAGGTTTTGACAAATTCTCTGTATTTTTCAAATACTTAAATATCTATTCAGTTGACATCTTAATCAGTATGACTGTCAGAATATCACTTAAATTTCTGACAGGTGACATCCAAAAAAGCAAAAGCAGGTTTATTTGTAGGTAACCTGTTCAGCTCCTGCTGGGCTACATTGTAATTTCTCCTTGTATTAACTTCTGATCAAATGCCTGAGTCAGAAGCACAAATTAGAAGGGAACTTAGGGAGCACAGAGCCCAAGTTCCTTTTTCTAAGATGAGGAATCCATGCCCTTGAGTAGTAGTGATGTGCTGATGACTCAGTGTCTGTGCAAAAACATGCAGGGTTTGTTCTTGGCTGAGGGGATGAGCCTGGGCCTTTATTAAAATGCTCAGACCAGATCTTACACATCTTTGTCCTGAGGACTGAGCCCCTCTAGTCCTCCTCTGGCCACACTCCTGCCCATGGACTGTGGGCCAAGGGCACTTGCCACTCCAGGCACCCCAGGCCCAAGGGGCATTTGTCTGTGGAGAGCGAATGGAATGTGGGTAGGCAGGATGGCGTGACCACATAGGGGTGTGTGAGTCACATGTTCCACTAGGGGTGTGCAGAGAAGGGGGACAGACTGTAGCACAGGGGTGGGCAGAGAAGGGTACAGAGAAGGGAGCCAGAAGCCGGCTCCCCTGTGCCACCACATTCTAGCTGCTGCTCCAAAAGGCCCTAGGATTTCTAAACTTACATTTGGCCTTTCAGGTTGTGAGGAAGGTATGTCAAAATAGGAAGATAAAAACTTAACAGTTCTTAGCTTGATAACTTTAAAATAACTAGACATAAGATATGTATCCCTCATCCATCCTCTTGTTCTAGGTGCCATATTTGTTGGGGGAAGATTATCACTTGGAACCTTGAGTTACAGAATTGGAGAAAAGGAAATTGGAAATGGCAGGCTTTCCCAGATGTTGGATTTGGGCAGTTATTTGCATTCCATGCTGTGGTAGCTGATTTGTCAGCCTTTTAGGCAGAAAATGTCCCCAAAGCCATTACTGACTTTATATACTGTTCAGGCTGTGAGCACTGCAGTCAGCTCCTACGAGGCATTTCTCGGCAGGAGCTGGCCATGTTCCCAGATCAGAGCTGGCTATTAGTTATGGCTGCAGGGCAGACTAGGAATGGACTGGGTTGAAGTCCTATCCTAGCAGGTGAGGACAGACCAACTGGCCCGTGGCCTTCCCTTTTGGGTGTGGAGTCCGCAGACCTTTCTTGTCTTTCTCTCCCTCCTCCCCACAGCAGGCAAGATGGAAAGGTGGGCTGGGATGAGGTGGGGTGCTTCCTTTCTGTCTTCCAGTTTAGCCTCCTGCTTCAAATCCCACCCACATCCTTACTTTAGTCAAAGGCCATTTCTCAAGTAAACATTTCTCCATGTAACTTGGGTGGAGAACTTGTACCCCAACCTCTTGGCCCCCTGACTTGCTGTCTGTCCCTTTCACCTCTTTCTGGGGTCTTATATCTGCCTGTTGTGGTCATGTTATTGTTATTCCCATAAAAGTTGCCTGCCATCATATGTCATCAGTTTACTGCCTCTGAGACTCTGAGCCTGACAGACACACAGATGAAGGAAACACTGCAGAGTCCCCGGTGTGTGTGAACACATCTCTGTTTGGAGTCTCATTCAGAAAAAGCTGCATCAGCCCAAGTAACAAACAGGAACATCATTTCCCTGTAGGAGTGTGCCTTAGGGCAGGAAGTGACCTCAGAGACCCCCCACCCACCCCTGACCCCTGAATCCCTTCCCCTCAGCCCTTTGATGCCTAGGAAGTAGAGTCCTGCTGCCATGTTCTCCCTCTGCTTGTGGTCCCGGTGGTGAGTTAAAACAAAGTTCTGGAGAGAGGAAAGAAAGGTCTGATTTGCCCCCAACCCCTATGACTGAGGTGACTGCCCATCACTCACGGAGGCATCCTGGGGAGCAGCCCTGTTCCGCAGCCCTCTGTCTTCTGGGACTGTCTCAGCCATGGGGCCCAGCGGTGTCTGTGCCACTTTGCTGAGGCTTCCTTCACCTTAGCTGCTACCTGACTGTGCCAGTGTTTTCTCTTTCTCAGAGTTGGGCAATATCTGGCCCTGGTTCACTGTGCCTCCCAGCACTCCTCTCAGGCAGGCCCTCCTACAAACACAGGCTGTGTGTTCTGCCTGCTGCCAAGATAGTGCACATGCTCTGGGTAAAGGTACATCAGATAATGGCATCCGTGGCCAAACCCCAGTCCAGCTGCTGCAAAGGTCTGGAGAGGGACTCCAGAGCCCTGTGAGGAACAAGCAGGGCACTGTGCTGCTCACTCCTCTGTTGGGGCTCCCCCAGGAAGGGTCCGGCCACCCAAAAATTCACCTCTTCTGCCTCTTGGCCATGACTGAACTCCCATCTCTGACCTCTGTGGGGTCCTTGGGGCTCCAAGTAAACAGTGGCCCCCAGAGCTCCCCAGAGGAGGTTCCTACAGCTTGTTCAAGGCCTCGACACAGCCTGGGCATTCTCCATGCCTCCTACAGTGTCAGGTAAGGTTGATGCCTCTTCTTCCTGCTGGGAACTTGAGGCTGGGCTTTGTTTTTGTGGTCATGGCCTGAGGTGAGTGGGCCTCTCACCCCCTCTGCTGGCTTTCCTTGCTAACGGGGAGCATACATGGAGGCTTTGGGCTCCCTCAGTGGATCAGGGTGGAGAGAGGAGAGGGGAAGGGCTGCCAGTGGTAAATGAACAATGGTGAATGGCCCCCCTCTTGCCCATGGCAGGACATGGAAGCTCTAACAGTGAGGCAGCTGTGCTCTGCCATGTGCCCAAGCTTTGGGCCTCTTACCCCTTCCTTTGTGTTCCCCCGTGTACAGCCTGCCCCATGGGGATGGAGAGGGCTTGGGGAATACTTACAACACAAACGGTAATGAAGCCTGGTGAAGGAACACAGGATCAACTAAAGGAATAAACAGTGTCCTTTTTGCTATGTCCCACCCACCCAGCCAGAGAGAGCTGGTATTCAGAGCAGCTCCCAGGCAGGCGTTTTACACAGATGAGCTTTCTCGGTTACTACCTGCCAGCGTCCACAGAAAGGGGCACTGAACCGCAACCACACTTAAGAGAGAGGCACTGAACCCCAACCACATTTAAGAACCTGTCCAGAGACCACTGGGATTAGTGCTGAGGCACAAGGGTTTGGCCCCTTCTGGAACCCACACTTCCTTTCCTTTAAAGTCACCAGGTTGGACCCTGGTGGGACTTTACATCTTGCCGGCAGCAGTGGGACAGGCAGATCCTCAAGGATGTCTCCTTGTACATCGAGAGTGGGCAGATCTTGTGCATCTTAGGGAGCTCAGGTAAGCTTGGGAAGTACTTTAAATGTATGTTCTCAGTGAGCATTCAGAAAAGGCTTTGGCTTGCTTTGAACACATTGGGAAGTTTAAGTTGTAGCAAGAGGGCCACAAGTTTGGTATTAGAATGAAATCAAATGACATGTCTGACTGAATGGAATCTGGTACTAATGTGACGCCTTTAGAAAGATCCTTGGAAAAGAATAAACTCCTGGGGAGCCTGGGTGGCTCAGTTGGTTAAGTGTCTGAGTTTGGCTCAGGTCATGATCTCAAGGTTCGTGGATTCGAGCCCCGCATTGGGCTCTGTGCTGGCGGCGCAGAGCCTCCTTGGGATCCTCTCTCTCTGCCCCTCCCCCACTCACATAGTGTCTGTCTCTCTCTCTCTCTGTCTCTCTCTCAAAATAAATCAACTTAAAAAAAAATAAAGTCCTGCCTAACATATTAGTTAATTCATATTTCAAAGTATGGAAAGCCCCTAACATGGTGCCTGGCATGTAGAAGTACTCAGTAAACACAATTTCCCTGATTTTTATATTGTGCTCAGGGGCAGGAAAAAAATTAAGCACAAAGATACCCACTTAGCCCCATATCCATTGTTTTTTGTTTTCTTATGATGCATTTCAAATATACAGGCAAGAGTAGAGAATAAAGAAAGTTCATGTATTAACATCTGGCTTTATCAAATCTTAACATCAACATTATACCGTATTTGCTTCATGTCCTTTTTTTTTTTTTTTTAAATCCAAGTCAACATATAGTGTAATAATGGTTTCAGGAGTAGAATTTAGTGATTCATCACATATAACACCCAGTGCTGATCCCAACAAGTGCCCTCCTGAATACCCATCAGCCATTTAGCCCATCCCCCCACCTATCACCCCTCCAGCAACCCTCAGTTCTCTGTATTTAAGCGTCTCTTAATGGTTTGTCTCTCTCTCTCTCTCTCTCTGTTTTTATCTTATTTTTTCTTTCCCATCTCCTATGTTCATCTGTTTTGTTTCTTAAATTCCATATGAGTTAAATGATATTTGTCTTTCTTTGATTTTGCTTAGCATAATACACTTTAATTCCATCCATGTTGTTGCAAATGGCAAGATTTCATTTTTTTTGATCATGGAATAATATTCCATTGTACATATAGACCATATCTTCTTTATCCATTTGTCAGTTGATGGACATTTGGGCTCTTTCCATAATTTGGCTATTGTTGATAGTGCTGCTATAAACATTGGGGTACATGTGTCCTCTTTTGTATCAGCATTTTTTTTATCCCTTGGATAAATTCCCAGTGGTACAATTGTTGGGTCGTAGGGTAGTTCTATTTTTAGTTTCTTGAGGAATCTCCACACTGTTTTCCAGAGTGGCTACATCAGATGCATTCCCACCAACGCTGCAAGTGTTCCCCTTTCTCCACATCCTCACCAATATCTGTTGTTTCCCGAGTTGTTATTTTTAGCCATTCTGACTGGTGTGGGGTGGTATCTCATTGTGGTTTTGATTTGTAGTTTCCTGATGATGAGTGATGTTGAGCATCTTTTCATCACATCCTTTTTTTTTAAGGAATTAAATATTACACACTTCACTGAGGCTATCTTTGTGCCCATTTCCCACTTTATCCTCCTTCTCTATTTTGGGTTATCTACACTTGAGGCTGAATTCACTGTTTGTCTCTGTGTCCCTACATCAGCCAGTCATTGCTCTGGGCAGGTGTAGCCTCCAGAGAGGCAGATCCTTGTGTCTGAGGGCAATGGCCCATGGGGATCACAGCTGTTGACTCCTCAGCATTGACCCTGACAAGTGGATCTGCATGGACACTACAGGGTCCACTACTACACTAGGTTATCCCATACACTTTCAGGGTAAAAGATTCTGACAGACTGGCTTCAGGGTAAAAGATTCTTCAGACTGGTTGAGTTCTTGTTTGCACTGCATTGTTGACATTTCCTGGCACTACCTACTTGCGTTCTTCTCTGTAATAGCAGTGGGTAACACAAGTCTGCAAAAGTCAAGCACGGTCAGCCTCATTTGTCCTGGGAGTTAAATCCATAGCCATTCCCCTGCCACAGCAAGTAAACAACTGGGTGGCAATAGTAGCATTAAGATTAAATGAGAAGGAATTCAGTGACAAAAAGTGTTAACCCTTTGCTGAGATTTCCTGTCAGTTCCTATTTCCAGTTTTTCAAAATTTCTAACTATATGCATGTACTGTGACATCCAGGGTCCTTCTAATTTTCCTTTTGTTAATTATTACATTCTTCTTTAAAAATAAGAAAACCTGAGTTATTCCTGTAGTTTTTTGCTTGTCTTCTTTCTGTAGGATTAGAGTGGTGTGTGGCACACAACAAAGAATGACTTCACATTCTCAGAAGGGTGTCCCACAGGCCAGTGTCATGCTTCATGCACATCTCAGCAGGACAGTGGGTGGGAGGCCTTGATCTGGGAGCTCATGGGCTGGTTTGTGATCATACCTAATCATAGTTTTATAACAATGTCTATCCTGTTATACTGGCCATGAATTCATAGTAGACTGCAAATTCACCTGGGAGTGAGGTTTTGTTTTGTTTTGTTTTGTTTTCTTTCTGTATTCTCAACAACTAGAATAGGACTAACCACATAGTAGGTACTTAGTAATATGTGTTGAATCAGTGGTATGTTAGCATTTCACAAAATGACATATGATTCCATTGGTGTCTTACCTCACACAGCGCTGTTTGTCAAATCTTTATTAGTGAAGCAAAAGAAGACAGATAGTCAAAGTCTCACAACAGAATGGTCTAATGTAAGCCTGCCTAGGGTCACCCAACATTCCGGGGGAGGGTAAATATATTTGACTCATTATTTGCTATCAGTTGGGACCCAGACTCTGGGCTGCTTGCTCCCTTGTAGAGGACTATTTAGTTATAAACAATTTCTGTCTGTTTAGGGAAGATAACTCCAAAGGTCATGGTTTTATTGCCCTATAGGGCATTAACCTTTTGTTTTCTTTTTTTATTGTGGTAAAGTACACATAAAATTTACCATCTTAACCATTTTTAAGTGTACAGTTCAGTGGTAATAGATACATTCACATTGTTGTGCAGCCATCTCCACCATCCATCTTGCAAAGCTCTTGTAAAGCCCTTCATCTTGTAAAACAAACTCTACACTCATTAAGCAATAACTCTCCATTCCTCTTGCCTCCAGCCCCACCATTATACTTTGTCTGTATGATTTTGACTACCCAGCCTCATAAAAGTGGAATCATACAGTATTTATCTTTTTGTGTCAGGCTTATTTCACTTAGCATAATGTCCTCAAGCTTCATCCATGTTGTAGCCTGTATCAGAATCTCCTTCCCTTTTAAAGCCCTTTTAAATTCCATTGATAACTATACCATGTTTGCTGCTCTGTTCATCCATTAATGCATCCATTAAAGGATACCTGAGTTGCTTCCACATTTTAGCTATTGTGAATAATGCAATGAAGATGGGTGTACAAATATCTGTTTGAAACTGTTTTCAATTCTTCTACCAAGAAGTAGAATTCTTCTTCTTTTTTAAAAAATTTTTAATGTTTTATTTATTCTTGAGAGCAAGTGAGCATGAGCAGGGGAGGGGCAGAGCGAGAGAGGGACACAGAATCCGAAGCAGGCTCCAGGCTCTGAGCTGTCAGCACAGGGCCTGAGATGGGACTCGAACTCACAGGCTGTGAGATCATGACCTGAGCCAAAGTCGGATGCTCAACCAACTGAGCCACCCAGGCGCCCCAGTTCTTCTACTTTTTCTACCAAGAAGTAGAATTTCTGGGTCATATTGTAATTCTGTTTTTAATTTTTTTTTTTTTATTTTAAATTTTTTTTTTTTAATTTTTTTTTTTCAACGTTTATTTATTTTTGGGACAGAGAGAGACAGAGCATGAACGGGGGAGGGGCAGAGAGAGAGGGAGACACAGAATCGGAAACAGGCTCCAGGCTCCGAGCCATCAGCCCAGAGCCTGACGCGGGGCTCAAACTCACGGACCGCGAGATCGTGACCTGGCTGAAGTCGGACGCTCAACCGACTGCGCCACCCAGGCGCCCCTGTTTTTAATTTTTTTAAGAAACTACTGTTGTTTCTGCAGTGGCTATACCATTTTATATCCCCACTAACACTGCACATGGGTTCCAATTTCTCTACATCCTCACTGACACATGTTGTTTTCCAATTTTTTGATAGTAGCCTTCCTAAAGAGTGTGAGGTGGTATCTCATTGCAGTTTTAATTTGCAGTTACCTAATGCTTAGTGCTGTTGAGCATCTTTTCATGTGCTGCTTGGCCATTCATATATCTTCTTTGGAGAAATGTCTATTTAAGTCCTTTGCCCAATCTTGAATTGGGTTGTTGTCGCTGTTGTTGTTTCTGAGTTTTAAAGCTCTTTATGTATTCTGGATATTAATCCCTCATCAGATACATGATCGCAGATATTTTTCCTATTCTGTGGGTTGCCCTTTTACAGTGCGGATAGTGTCTTTTGATGCACAGAATTTTTAAATTTTCATGAAGTCCAATTTGTCTATTTTTTCTTTTGTTACCTATACTTTTGGTGTCATATTCTAGGACATTTAGCATTTTTGTGTCTAACTTTGCATCTTCTTCTTTTTATTTTCCACTGATTATACATATCAGTTTCTTGTATTATTTTTTTTGAATAAACTTTTTCATCCTGCTGGTCAATGACTAATGAGTTGATAGGTAATAAAGTTGAGATATCTTTAAAAAGAGGTTAGCTATGTATTTCTATGTAAAAAGTATCCCAGAACTAAGTGGCTTAAAACAATAAAAATCATTACTATCTCTCAGGGTTTCTATGAGTCAGAAATTTGGAAGAGACTTTGTTGGGTAGTTCTGGCTGGAGTGTCTCATGAGATTATAGTCAGAAGCCTGCTGGGCTGCAGTCATCTGAGGGCTTGAGCAGAGCTGGAGAATCCACATGCAAGGCAGCTCCCCTGCATGCTGGCTGGCAAGTTGGTGCTTGCTGTTGCTTACTGAGAATATATAACATGAGAAGAGCCAAAGGCCCAGGAGAGAACCCTAAGTGCCACCCACAGGAGGCTGGGAGGGAGCAGCCAGACCAGCAGGATAAAACAAAGAGGATGAAGTGGCATCAAAGCCAAGGGAGAGAGATTTATAGAGCAAGGCAGGCAACAGTATCAAATGCTTTTGGGAGGAAAGTACCCACCAGATACAGCAGCAAGGAGGCAACCTTGATGACCTCAGGGAGGCCAGTTTTGATGTGATGGGACTGGAATCCAGGCCCGAAGATATTTGGAGCTTCTGTCAGAGTTGAGGTTGGATCACAGAAATAGAAGGTCAAGGAAGCTTCTAGTTCAAGGAACCACATACGAGGGTTAGGATCATGACTGGGAAATTTTAGAGCATTTTTGAAAGACAACTTGAATGAAGTCATATTTTGTTTTTTTACACTCCCTCCCCTCTTCCCACACTGACCTCTACTGAACATGCTGGAGCTAACTCTGATCTTGGTCAGCCCATGGGTTAAATAAGAACACCACCGCTAATGGAGTTTGGCTCATTCGTCTTTGTACCCCTCACAGCAACAAGCGATTGCTTTACAGTATTTGAACAAAAGATCTTCTCTGCGGTTTTGCACAAATCATCATATCCTTGGTAGAATTCTGTCTTTTCAGGCAGTTCAGAACCTCTTGCCTGTTAACTTCTTAGCAGCCTGACCATGCTAATTCCTGTGTCCATTTACTCTCTGGGCTCATGTAGGTTTATGTCCAGTATGAAAACGAGGGGCCAGCTGGTGTCTTATCCTAACTGTATCACCTAACCTCTAACATTAGAAAAATGAAACCAGGGGAAAGCTGTTAGTGAGGTTCTCAGTGTAGGCTGAGGCCAACGTGATTTTACTAAAGGACTTGCTAGGTTAGTGCTTCTGAAACTCTGATATGTGTGGTAATTACCCAGAGATTTTATTAAAAAGCAGAATCTTGGGGCACCTGGGTGGCTCAGTCAGTTAAGCATTTGACTCTTGATTTTGGCTCAGGTCATGATCTCATGGTTCATGAGATGGAGTCCTGCGCTGGGCTGTGCGCTGACAGTGCAGAGCCTGCTTAGGATTCTCCCTCTCCCTCTGCCCTCCCTCCCCCTTCAAAATAAATGAACACTAAAATATATATTTAGGGGCACCTGAGTGGCTCAGTTGGTTAAGTATCCAACTCCAGCTCAGATAATGATCTCATGGTTCATCAGTTTGAGCCCCGCATCGATTTCTCTGCTGTCAGCACAGAGCCGGCTTCGGATCCTTTGTTCCCCTCTCTTTCTGCCCCTCCTCTGCTTGTTCTCTCTCTCTCTCTCTCTCAAAAATAAATAAACTTTTAAAAAGTATGTATTTTACACACACACACACACACACACACACACACACACACACAATGAAATCAGAATCTGATTCAGTAGGCCTGGGCTGGGGCTGAGAGTTTGCATTTGTGCCAGGTGCTCAGGTGGTGGTGTTGGTATTCCGACCACACTTGATTAGCAAGGTTCTAGGCAGTGTTCCCTATTTTCAGGAACCACTAACTGATCCCTGGTTGGGGGAGGCGGGTGCAGAAAGAAATTCAGATGTCCTAGATCCAAACGTTTTCCAGGAGCCTCGGTTTTCTTTTTATTCTGATCCTATTTTTTTCTTTTTCAACTCAAAATAGCTTTAGAAGCAAATAGGCAGACAAAGCCCCTCCAGTCCTGACTGGGATGAAAGAAATGCCTCGTCTCTCTGTGACTTTTTTGGACAAGCCGGAAAGACTCATTGGTGGCATGAGCGTTTGACTCAAGAGGCTAAAGAGAGAGCAAGTTAGTGCTAGACCAGGGGCCCACAGAGGGTCTGGGGATGGCCTGGCAATACCTCATGGAGGGAGTCTTCTTGGGCCTTGTCTTTTTGTCTCCCAGGCTCCGGGAAAACCACGCTGCTAGATGCCATGTCTGGGAGGCTGCGGCGCACGGGGACCTTCCTTGGGGAGGTGTTCATGAATGGCCAGCTGCTGCACAGGGACCAGTTCCAGGACTGCTTCTCCTATGTCCAGCAGGTGGGCGCATCCCCAGTCCCCGCCCCAGCTGCTGCAGCCTGGCCTTGGCCACTGCCATGCTGATGCCTCCCTCTTTCGCAGAGTGACACGCTGCTGAGCAACCTGACGGTGAGGGAGACTCTGCGCTATGCAGCACTGCTGGCTGTCCGTCGCTGCTCCCCAGGTTTCCTCCAGAAGAAGGTGGGTAGCATCTGGCCTTCTGCAGCCCTGCCCCCTAGGGTATCACCCCACCATGGTTCTGCACCCCCCTTCCCTCCACTTATCCATTCCTCCCCTTCACTCTTTACCTCTTTAGTGGGGACTTGCGCTGCCCAATTTGGCACCCACTGGTCACCTGTGGCTTTGAGCACTCAACACATGGCCAGGCCCACTTGAGATGTGCTATGAGTGGGAAACGCCCAGGGGTTTTTGGAAATTAGTCTGAAAAAAAATATGAACTATCTTATTAGTTTTTGAAATACTGGTTACAGGTTGAAATGGTAGTATTTTGGCTGTATTGGGTTAAATAAATTATATTAAAATTAATTTTACTTGTTTCTTTTTAAAATGTGACTACTAAAACATTTGAATTCTATACGTGGCTTGTATTATATTTCTATGGAATGGCATCGTTCTAGGAGCTCAGTGTTTGAATAGTTATTTTCCTCACAGTACTTTGCTCTGCAGCCCTGTGGAGACTTTTCTCAACTTTCTTTGAGGTATTTTGAATGTGCCTTATCCAAACTGGATTAAGTTAATGAAGGGACTATTGACTTGTCAACTCTTTCTGGGTTTCAGTCTGTTTCTTTAAGTGTATCTAATTTGGAAGTAGTCAGAGGTAAGCCCACAGGGACTAAGGGTGTGTGGGTAGGTGTGCCACCTACAAAGCAGGTGAAGTTCCCTGGGAAATAGGCCCTCAGAGGAGGGTCACCAGAGGAGGCCAGCAACATCTGTTTCAGAGGCTTCAGCAAAGCCACAGTGAAGTTCCTCCTGGGCACACAAATTCTATCTGCTGTCCAGACTCCAAGGTTAGCCTCCTTTAATGCCATTGGGGCTCCAAGGAAATCCTCCATCTCAGCTGAGGGCGCCCCATCCTTATCAAGCACTGCTGAGTCTGCCCCAGGAACTTGCTCAATTTGTCCCTGGCATTGGACTTTCAGACAGGGCTTAGAGAGTGGAATTAGGTCTAAGCTGTGTCCCAAGTGCCAGCAGATTTGTTTGATAAAATACCCGGGTGAGTAAAGAGCATTCTTCTGTTTGAGAGTCCTAGACAGTGCTGGAGGATAAGCTTTTACTCCAGAGGAGTCTTAGCGAGGAGCCTGGCCCTCGAAGAGGACCATCAGCCTCACAGAGTGATACTTAGCTCTGTTCCTGGAGGTTACCTTAGAGTACTCAGAATGCATGGTGAGGTTCTTGCTACTCTACTAGGTTATACAGGCATTCCTTGGAGATACTGTAGGTTTGGTTCCAGACCACTGCAGTAAGGCAAATACCAAAATCCATGGAGCCAGGTGAAGTTTTTGGTTTCCCAGTGCATGTAAAAGTTATGTTTATACTATACTGTAGTCTGTTAGGTGTACAGTAGCATTATGTTTAAAATAAACAATGCACAGGGGCGCCTAGGTGGCGCAGTCGGTTAAGCGTCCGACTTCAGCCAGGTCACGATCTCGCGGTCCGTGAGTTCGAGCCCCGCGTCAGGCTCTGTGCTGACAGCTCAGAGCCTGGAGCCTGTTTCCGATTCTGTGTCTCCCTCTCTCTCTGCCCCTCCCCCGTTCATGCTCTGTCTCTCTGTGTCCCAAAAATAAATAAACATTGAAAAAAAAATTAAAAAAAAAATAAATAAACAATGCACATCTTAATTTAAGAATGTTTTAGGGGCACCGATGTGGTTTGGTCAGTTAAGAATCCGACTCTTGATTTTGGCTCAGGTTGTGATCTCACGGTTAGTCAGTTCAAGCCCCGCATCTGGCAGCGCAGAGCCTGCTTGGGATTCTGTCTCCCTCTCTCTCTGCCCTTCCCATCCTTGCACATGCTCGTTCTCCCCGCCCCCCCCTTTTCAAAATAAAATAAACTTAAAAAAAGTAAAAATACTTTATTGACACACGAAATAAGCAAATGCTGTTGGAAAAAATGGTGCCAGTAGACTTGTTTGACACAAGGTTGCCACAAATCATTACTTTGTAGAAAATACAGTATCTGTGAAGCCCAGTAAAGTGAAGAACAGTGAAACAAGGTGTGTCTGTACTCTGAACTCTCATAGCTGGCTGGCATTAAGTCAGGCTTTGTTCACACATAGTATTGCATTTCATTTTGGCATCAACCCTGTGAGGGAAGCATTATCTCCTAACACACAAGATTAAGATCAGATAGTTGGGAATGGCAGAGCTGGGATGTGACCCTAGGCTGTCTAGTTCTATCATGCCTTCCTGAGCTCCTGGGATCTCCCGAGCCGCATTGTGATGAGAGAAGATGGAGGTCGAGTTCAGCCCACACTGAGGCACAGACATTTTCACGTGACTTAGCCCTGACAGTGAGTAACAGATGAGTCCATCTGTGGACTCTGCTTGCTTTAGTATTTCTGTTTCCAAAAAGGGCAGGAGAAGATCCTATTGGTATCTGAGTGGGAGAAATGAAATCATAAACAGATTCTTCTGAGTTAGTGATCCACTTATGTCACATATCCCGATGAGAGAATGAATCTAAGAAAGCCATGGATCTCTTCCCCAGAAAGTGCACATATATGCATAAATATTCAGAAAATTTATGGATGCTTTGCAATCAATTGATGGCAAAATTGTCCCCCCCTGCCCCCAGTAACTGTTCTCTTGGCACTGGCAGCCCCTAAAAGTCCTGTGAAAGTTCCTCTGCCTGAGAAAGTACTTTCTGAGCAAATCTAGTCCACAGAACATAAAATCTGGACAAAGTAGTAAGAAGGAAATGGTGGTAATAGAGGGCAGAGCACAGCAGATCTCTCCTCTAAGGAACCTGAACATAAAGCTGTGGTTGACATGGGCAGTCTCTGTCTGCTGGATTGTGGGCTAAACCTTGTGCTTCATGGGCCACTTGAGAACCCAGACAGTTCTCTCAGTCCCAGTCTGTCACTTGCTAGTGGTGTGACCTTGGGCAAGTTATGTACCTCTCTGAGCATCTGTTTCCTCCTCCATAATGAATAAATAATAATGCATCTCTCCTGGTATTAATGTGAGGAATGAGTCCATTTATTTGAGAATACATAGCATAGAGGTTGTTGATCCCAGTGATCCCAAGGGTTCCTTCTAAGACATTGTGAATTCCATTCCCAGTAGTGTTCGCCAAACAGAGAGGCTTTGGGATAGAGTATGAGACATCTGAAACAGGTTAAATAAATGCCTCCTCTCTCTATCCCTTCCAAGCCAGGAGAGCGAGTTTACTCCTTTATTCTGGTTGTTGCAGAGCAAATGACAGGGATGCTCAGGAATCTGCCCTGGCAGGTGAGCACATCAGCCTGGCCATATCAAGCAAAACTCAATTCCAGGATCCTTCTACTCTGATGGCAAGAGGAGACCCTTTTTTCCAAAATAAATCATACTGGTTTATTTATGCATAATTAACCTCGTTTTCCTTTGGATGTAGTACAGATGTATTCCTTCTTGTGGTCAAATCTACATCTATGCTTTTGATCCCACTCCTGGCTCTTCTGGAACTTTGTTCCACAAATCATCTCCTCTTTTACTCCAATCTACTTTGTTGTGTTTTTTTTAAGTTTTTACTTATTTTGAGAGAGAGAGCAAGCACGAGTCGGGGAGGGCAGAGGGAAGGAGAGAGAGAATTCTAAGAAAGCTCTGCATTCCACACTGAGTCCGATGCAGGGCTTGATCTCATGACTGTGAGATAATGACCTGAGTCGAAATCAACAGTCGGGTGCTTAACTGACTAAGTCACCCAGGCGCCCCTACTTTGTTATTATATATTTTTTTAATGTTTCTTTTTGAGAGAGACACAGAATGCAAGCAGGGGAGGGGCAGAGAGAGGGAGACATAGAATCTGAAGCAGGCTCCAGGCTCTGAGCTGTCAGCACAGAGCCCGATGCAGGGCTCGAATTCACGAGTGGTGAGATCATGACCTGAGCTGAAGTCAGACTCACGACTGACCTACCCAGGAACCCCTGTTGTTATTTTTTTAATGTAGTGTTTTGTTTCTTTTTTCATGGTAAAAGTAACACAGTCTCTTTGGATGTGTATGGGAATGCAACTCATTACCATATATGTAGGTATTTTCAGTCTGTTTCTAGCTGCTTTCCCCAGGGCCCTATGTAGATATGGGTAATCAGCAAGGCAGGGCCAGAAGTAGAGGTTTTTGAGTCTCTGGAGATGGGTTAAGCTGAGGAAGGAAAGAAGGAATGGGAGGGAAAAGGCCAACCTTCTTGATTAGACAGTCATTAAAGAATGTTTCTAGTTTTGGGGAAGTTGAGGAGGAGGAGTAAGGAGAGGGTGTCAGGGAGTGGCAGAGTCTAAGAGAAGTGGAGAGAGAACTGGAACAGGACATGAAGTGTGGCTGTAGGTAATAAACTGGGTCCTCTGTAAAGTCCTTAAAGATATTCAAGTAAAGAATTGGCATTATTTTTAATTACTTTTGATAACTGGATTATATTTGATGCAAAACCACACTGAAAGTGGTCCAGGTGGGACTCCAGGACTTATTTGGGTTATATAAGGGTAGTCAGGTTTAGTTCAAACCAAATTAGGGTTTTTTTGATATATAAAACATTTATCATAATAAAATTTCAAAAACCAGACATATTTTTTTAAATGTTTATTTTTGAGAGAGTGCGAGCGGGAGAGGGGCGGAGAGGGAGGGAGACACAGAATCGGAAGCAGGCTCCAGGCTCCGAGCTGTCAGCACAGAACCCAACCTGGAGCTCAAACTCATGAGCTGTGAGATCATGATCTGAGCCGAAGTCAGATGCTTACCCAACTGAGCCATCCAGGTGCCCCCCAAACATATTTTAAAAAGCTATGTTGTAACTGTACCTTTGGAGGATCTTTATGCTGGACTCAATGCAACATCTGAAAATAGGGGTCCAACAGGGGCGCCTGGGTGGCTCAGTTGGTTAAGCATCCAGCTTCAGCTCAGGTCGTGATCTTGTGGTTCGTGAGTTCGAGCGCCATGTTGTGCTCTGTGCTCTCAGCTCAGAGCTTGGAGCCTGCTTTGGATTCTGTGTCTCCCTCTGCCTCTCCCCCTCCCCCTCCCCCAGTCAGTCTCATTCTCTCTCTCTCTCTCTCAAAAATAACATTTAAAAAATTAAAAAAACGATTTCTGTGAAAATAGGAGTCCAATGAAGTCTCCAGTGTTTCCTGGTGAATTTCCCTGAAACAAATGTAAACAGTTTTGTTGCTCTAGAGACTTTTGAAAAACAGTTTTATTATTTGTTCTAATCTGACACATGTATTATGATTTAGACCAAATTGAATTTTACCGTAATAGGCATGTTCTCCCTAGAGTGTGGTGAAAGTGGCTGAGCACTCCCGGGAAGTGTGTTGCCTCTCCCATGCCACCTGCAGGCCATGAATTAGGGCAGCAGCCCAGCAGACCAGACTTCTGGGACTTTGTGTCTCAAACAGGTGGATGCAGTCATGGTAGAGCTGAGTCTGAGCCACGTGGCAGATCGACTGATTGGCAATTACAACCTTGGGGGAATTTCCAATGGCGAGAGGCGCCGGGTCTCCATTGCAGCCCAGCTTCTCCAGGATCCCAGTAAGTGGGACTCAGAACTACTACCGGCTGCTGCCCGTCTTCCATAGGTCTGGAGACGTTTTCGGTCCCTTTTTTCATAGTCTCCATTTGCAGAGAGGTTTGTGTGGAACTGACGTCCCGGACATCAAACCAGGGACCCTGTTTCTTTGGAAATACTATGTAGTTCCTGATGCCATTCCACCATCTGAGTACAAAACAGCTCTTAGACTTGGAAACACTGCATTTGTGTTTTAATGTGCAGTGAAGGTCTTCCATGAACACATGGGCCTGGCCTGTCCATCCTGACTTCTTACTAGAGCAGCACCACTGAGTGTGCTGTGGAAAACCAGAGAGTTTTGGTGTGACTAGAGGTACTAATAAAATGGCAGGAATTAAAGCAGGACTTTGATACACAAAAAATTGTATATTTTGGAGAAGTATCAAGATGAGGTAGCCAGTCACCTGCCTCTCCTGCTGAGTTTGGTCGTTCTCCCTGCCACTGGGGGAACCTCAGCACTTACATGCCCCTAGAAGAGGACATACTACATTTGGATACTACACTGAGGCAGACTAAGACTGCCTGCTCTTCAGATGGTGGTTGATCACTAGAAGACAAGGAAGAGAGATGTTCTTAACAGCCCATCTCACTTTCTAGGTAGAAAGAACCACATTTAAACTCTCTAAAGAATCTAAGCCCCTGTCCCACCTCAGACTTTGTTGTATGGGTCAGAGTTTTTTGCAGCACAGAAACCCTGTCAGTATTGGAAAGTGCTCCACATAAAGTGAGGTTATGTCTTTTTAACCAGCCTCCTCTCAACCTTTTGAAAACAACTTGGTGCCTGCTCACCAGCCCTCGTGCTTTGTCATTGGTCTTTTGGACAGAGCCCCAACAGTCCACAGTACCATGTGAGAGGCTGATCTTGTTTCTGCCCTGTTCTCTCAAGGATTAAAGCCAAAATGTGCTATGCAGCTGGGAGTTGGGTCTTACTAGGTCAGGTTCTCTCTCTTGGGCTTGGACTGAAAGCCGGTTTACATGCAGGTACTCCTCACAGCATACTATTTGGATGGAGTAAGATGGGATGGGACATCTCCATAAAGAACTATTCAAAATTCTGAGTTTAGAGCCCAAAGCCCAGGCTCATCAGTGACTCAGAAACCTGACCCTTCCTTGCCTGTAGAGGTCATGCTGTTTGATGAGCCCACCACAGGTCTGGACTGCATGACAGCAAATCAGATCGTTGTCCTCCTGGCAGAGCTGGCTCGCAGGAACCGCATTGTGATTATCACCATCCACCAGCCACGCTCTGAGCTCTTTCAGGTGAGAGGGACGTCTCTTGTTCCTGCTTAACTCATCAGGGGTGGGTAGATGTGTGTGTGGAGATGGGGATCATGAGGGAGAGATTAGTACTTGTCAACCAGAGCAATTGGAGCCAGTATGGGCTTCCTGATATAGGAAGGGCACCTACCATGTACCAAATACCTTCTGTGCACTAGCTCATTTAGTCCACACAACAGTCCTATGAGGTGGGCATCTGTACTGTCACTTAATAGAGAAGAGGGAGCCTTAGAAATGATGCCAAATTGAGTCAATACCACACAGTAAAAAAGCTGGAAGTGGCATTCATGGTCCAGTTGGCTTCAAAGGCTGTGTCTTTCCACTGAATCATATAGATTTCCTTCCAAAAATCTCACTTCATCTTCCCAGGATACTTCCCAGGATACTTTCCCAGGAGCTGTTATTTGCCTCCTGTAGACAAGGATCTGAGATTAAACACATGAACATCTTGTCCAAGGTCACTCACTCAGTGGCACGACTAGGACTCAGACCCAGGTCCACTGGCCAGCTCCAGGAGTTCTCCTCCACCCCAGATGTGATGCTGGGCCCAGGCCGGATGCAGCATTGTGCACAGGAGCAACCCCAGCTGAAAAAAATAGGGACATGCTCTGTGTGTCTCCAGTGGACACAATAAGAATACTGATGCATGGCTAAGATAATCAAGGACCCACTGCTTGGAAATTTATTCTCCTGAAGAATATGGTAACCTGATTATACACTAATACCATCTATTTTCCAATCAGCTCTTTGATAAAATCGCCATTCTGAGCTATGGAGAGCTGGTTTTCTGTGGGACACCGGTGGAAATGCTTGATTTCTTCAATGGCTGCAATTACCCTTGTCCCGAACATTCAAACCCTTTTGACTTTTATAGTAAGTTTTTTTTTTCACCTTTCCCATCATGAATGTTTATTAAACTTAACCATCTCAGATTTCTGCCTGGATGTCAACAGCACTGGTGGATTTTATTCTTGTTTTTGTTTCGGTGTTTTCACTCTTTAAGGAATTAGTTTGGCTGGGTCCCTTAACTTACCATCTGATAGATGACCTATCAGACTGAGGTGGGAGATCTCTCTTAAATGGGTGCATGTCCACTTTGTCAGAGAAAAATAGCTGAGCTTCTGAATTCTCACAGACAGCCTCAGTTGAATCCTCAAGGCCTTGCAGGTAACTTTAAAAGAATTCTGATTTTATAGGTGGGCATGAACAGAAAACATTTTGATTTTATAGGTGGGCTAGTACTCCTGAATCAATGATGAAACATGTATTAAAAGCCACTGTGCATATATTTGCATTTAAAAACTTATGGGCCATTTCTTTTGGGAAAAAATTAGTGGACCTGACATCAGTGGATACTCAAAGCAAAGAACGGGAAATGGAAACCTACAAGAGAGTCCAGATGATTGAATCTGCCTACAAAGAATCAGCAATTTATCACAAAACCTTGGAGAATATTGAAAGAGCAAAACACCTGAAAACATTGTCAACGGTTCCGTTTAAAACCAAAGATTCTCCTGGAGCTCTCTCTAAACTAGGTGTTCTCTTAAGGTAAGAGCCTCAGCCCATTTTAGGTGGTTAAGCATCCACCAGTGAAAGAAAAGGAATTAAAACAGGGCTGTTTGGTTTTCAGGAGAGTGACAAGAAACTTACTGAGAAATAAGCTGGCAGTGATTATGCGTCTTGTTCAGAATCTGATCATGGGTTTGTTCGTCGTTTTCTATCTTCTGCGGGTCCAGAACGATGTGCTGAAGGGTGCTGTCCAGGATCGCGTGGGTCTCCTATACCAGTTTGTAGGTGCCACCCCATATACAGGCATGCTCAACGCTGTGAATCTGTGTACGTGCCTGTGCCTAGGGCTGGGGGGGGGGCACTTCCTCTCTTCCTGAATATCTCCCTTCTCCAGCTGGCACCTTGCAAGACTCCATGATTATAAGGGTATTTTGCTGAGCTAAACTTGGCCCTCTCCAGATTCTCTCCCTGGGGAATGGTAACTACTAAGTTACTGATATCTTAGTGTGAATTAGTTCACCAAGTAGATCTCTCTGAGGGTCTAAGGATCCAGGGAAACATGAAATTATGAGCTGCTGATGGGGCAGGGTTTGGGAAGGGTTTTTTTTAAAAAAGATCATCCCTGTTATCCCTTTCTCGGCCATTAGGATGTACAGCCCCTGGGAACCCAGATACCTGCCAACTTTGCACCATTAAATTCTTTTTGGAGACTATTTTAGGATAGCCAGCACCTAATTTTAAAACTCAGAGAATCCAGAAGCAATACCTAGTTGCCTGATGTTCTGTGCCAAAACTCTGCACAAAAAGAGGACAAAGTACCTCACATCATTTATGACCCTTTTGCACCTGTGTTCTTGAATTTGTGACACCCTTCCTTTGATTTTATTTTTTTTTTAATTTTTTTTTTCAACGTTTATTTATTTTTGGGACAGAGAGAGACAGAGCATGAACGGGGGAGGGGCAGAGAAAGAGTGAGACACAGAATCGGAAACAGGCTCCAGGCTCTGAGCCATCAGCCCAGAGCCTGACGCAGGGCTCGAACTCACGGACTGCGAGATCGTGACCTGGCTGAAGTCGGACGCTTAACCGACTGCGCCACCCAGGCGCCCCTCTTCCTTTGATTTTAGAAGGAAATAAATTAGGACAGCCTTTGCAACCATACTGTAATTCAAGTAGAGTAGATTTCTGTGGTGGAAGGTATTTATAGTTCTGTGGATGGCAGGTTCCCCTTTCCAGGACTAGGGAGCCCTGGCTGGTTCCCACTGTACAGCCTCAGGTTTAGTTTTGGCTAGCCCTCCTTCCTTAGCTGTGTGGTGGCCAGCTGTTCTGAAATCTGCTTTCCATGCCCAGTTCCTGTGCTGCGAGCTGTCAGTGACCTGGAGAGCCAAGATGGCCTGTACCAGAAGTGGCAGATGCTGCTGGCCTATGTGCTGCACGTCCTCCCCTTCAGTGTCATTGCAACCATGATGTTCAGCAGTGTGTGCTATTGGTAAGGGGTTGTTCAAAGGTGTTTAGTCCCCCTGGGCCAGGCCTCCTGGGGAGTCCCAGATGGCCACTGGGACCAATGGAGGGGGAGCTCCAGGGTGGACAACTCCTTGCTCTTGGCCCTGGGGGGGGGGGGTCTGTCTTTGCCCATCAGTGTCTAGTACAATGTCCTGTCCTTCAGGACAAATAAAAGAACCCAGCTGGGGGCTGCATGGGACCTGAGAGCAGATCAGCAGGACTACATGTGCCAGGGACAGGCATGTCCCACATCTCCTGCAGGGCCTGGCCAGAGAAGATCGATCTTAAGTAGCTGGGATGCTGGGGGGGGGGGGGTGGCGGGGAGAGGTGACAAGCAGCTGTTAAGCGTGGCTCAACATTAAGCAAGGCTTCTGAGCACCTGTCAGCTGGAACAGCAACTCTGCCTGACGTTTCCACTGACCCACCTGTGACATCACAGTTGGGCTGGTGTTGAGGGGGTTTGAGCAATGGAAGAATGACTATGGGAAGAGGCACTGAGGAGCCATGAAGCATCCCTGATGCTGTTCGGTTTTGATTGATGGCTTATAGACAATGCTTCTTTTTGGTTTTTTTTTGTTTCTTAGAGCTTTTAAAAGATATAAATCTGAAAATGTGTAGTTATTTGCATGATTTATCATCATAGGGAGAGGTATCTTTCCTAATCCCTGTGGCTTTCCCATAAGAAAAGATGGGGGCATTACCTGGTATTCTGTGACTCTAGTAGTGTAAATGTGCCCAGCTTGTCATCCCAGGAGAACTTCAGGCAGTCTTGAGATGTTGTCTTCAGGCCACGGGATTCATGACTGCCTGAATAATTATAGGTGCTCCTAACATAGCCAGTATTCAGACCCATGATATGTAATACCAATAATTACTATGAATTAAGTGATACATAGGTAAAAGATAAACCAGGGCCTAGTTAGTTTGAGCTCCCAGATGAGGACTGGGAAGGTCTTGGTGCAGGTGCTTAGAAGTTGGTATCACTCTGGAGAGTGACAGAGGCAAAGCCACTTGCTCCGAGTTAGCAGATTGGGCTCCCCGCTGAGGGCGATGGCAGGGACCATGGGGCCTCCCTGCTGGACCTGATGAAGCCTCATTCTCTGACACTCAGGAACATGTTGACTCTAATCCATGATGTAAATAAACCATGAGCCTTTCTAGTTCAGGCTGAATGATCCAGGAACAGATCATTTACAACCTGATCATTTTTGAGTAAATCAGGGTTGGCTGAAAATTGAAGACCTCGGTAATTTAGACTCTTGCTACTCAGTGTAGCCCACAGACCAGTGTCAGCCTTGCTTTTGAACTTGTTTAACATGTAGAATCTCAGGCCCAGCTACTGAATTGGATTCTGCATTTAACAGGATCCTCCTGGTGGTTCATGTGCACTTTAAAATTTATGAAGCACTGATCTTGAAGACCATATACAGTCTTTGAAAAACTGCCCATGAGAAAGTTCTGTAAGATTTAAGAAAACAGGGAAGTGTAAGCATACAGGTCAGGACTATTTTTGATTAAAGTCAGATATAGAAAGAATCATTTCCAGTGGTAGCATGCTGTTAGCAACATAGCAAACACTTTGATTAAATGACAGCAATGTTTGTTGAATGCCTACTAAGCACCAGCTTAGCCAGCACAATACTAGGTGCAACAGAAGACTCAAAGAGGAGTGAACAGGAGGTGCTGCCCTCAGGCTTGCAATTCTGAAAGTTAAACATCTCTGAAAGTCAGAATGTATTTGTAACTCTTCTAGCAACATGCTGACATGAACTCAGTGGCAAAATCAGATGTGAACCCACACGATGTTCTCTGTACTTTTCCTACATAAACACTCCTGTTTAGCAGAAATATTAATGAGCTTGGTTACAGGTGGAGTCCCTAATCCCGCTGTGACAAGTATGGTCTGTGCAGTGTACAGACTTTCCAAAATCTGTAAATTGCCACATTCCAAAATACATCTGGCCCTAAAGCATTTCATATGATGGATTGTGGACATAAATCTCCAGATGACTTTTACTCGAAGTGTTAAGATTAGTGTTATAAAGAAGCACAGTCACTATGTTGAGGAATATAACAATAATAACAACAACTAACACATACTGAGCACTTGCTTTATGTCAAGCACTAAGAGCTTTAAATGTACCAATTCATGTAATCCTTTCAATCATTCTATAAGGGTGGCACTATACCTATCCTTGTTTGTAGGTGAGCAAACTGAGGTACAGATGGGGTATCTTCCCCATCCCAGCCAATTACAAAGGAGACCAAGAGCCGATTTGTTTGAGCGGGGAGAGCAACTCTTGGAGGACAACTCTTGGAGGACAAAACTCTTGGAGGACAGATGAGCAGAATTCCAATGGATAGAAAAGGGAGCAAGGGCATTCCAGGAAAAGAAAGAGCAGGGGCATAAGTTCAGGAGCAAAACGACATAAAACCTTTCCAGAGAAAAGATGCAGTTGTGCTGTGGGAATGAAGGATTATAAAGAGTAGTGAAAGATCTGACTGGCCCCTCTGGTGAGGTGGTGAATGCCAGGCTAAGGAGCTGAAGTGGATTTGATAATGGGATGGGACATAGGAGAGAAGTCTGAACCAGCGAGTGACCCATCTGTGATGGACTCTGGAGGGTGAGGCTGGCCCGCTTTGGCAGCAGACTGGAGTTAGGGCAGAGACCCTGGAGCCTTGGCAGCAGCCTATGGGAAAGGCAGAGGCCTTACTGAAGAGAGGAGCAGTGGCAACAAAAGGGGATTCACTTTGAAATACTAGGAAAGTAGAATCAAATGGGCTTAGAAACCATGGATTTGTTGGTGGTAAAGTCATAGAGAATGCCTGAGTGAGTTTTCCAGGGAAAACTCCATTGAGGGAATGGGATGGTGACAGTATCTTGACAGGAAAGAGCACGGACTTGGTTTTGAACATGTTGCATCTGGTATGCTACAGGACATCAGATGAGACACGTCATGCTGAGGTTTTGGTGGTAGGCTACAGCAGAAAGAAAAAGAGGAATAAGAGTAAAAGCCTGGGAATGGATTTTATAGGAGAGAATATTGGAAGGGGAGAAGGCAGTCTTGAGTGTAAACCTTATTTATTTATTTTTTTGAAAACATTTTAATGTTTATTTTTGAGACAGAGCATTAGTGGGGGAGAGGCAGAGAGCGAGGGAGACACAGAATCTGAGAAGCAGACTCCAGGCTCTGAGCTGTCAGCACAGAGCCCGACATGGGGCTCCAACCCATGAACCGTGTGATCATGACCTGAGCTGAAGTCGGACGCTTAAGTGACTGAGCCACCCAGGTGCCCCAAGTGCAAACCTTAGGAGGCACCTTTAGAGTGGGAAGCAGAAGGGTGATCAGGGAGGTAGAAGGAGTAACAGGACCAGGCAGCATCAGAGAAACCGAGGGAGGAGAGCATTTCAAGGAAGGGTAGTAAACTCATTCATATTGCAGGGGTTCAAGGAGATGAAGCATCAGATTAGGATGTCATTGGCAGTCTTCCAAAAACAAGCTTCAATAGGTTGGTGGAGGTGCAAGTCAGATTTACAAGAGAACAAGTAAGAAGAAGAAGATGCTGCTTGGAAGCTCTTGCTTCCAAGAGATGGAAGAAGCAGATGCTGCTTGGGAAGCTTGGTGGTGTAGGGTAGGATGAAGGGAAGGCAATTTGCTCACATGGTTATCAGGCTCAGGGAATTGATATTTCAGGATATGGTAAATAACACCATCTGGAAAAACCATTAGATTGAGAATAGATGAAACTATAGCAAAATAGGATAAGTCACAGATTACGTTTCCAGAGTAGAGCAGGGTAGGGATAGTGGAATCAGGTAACATGAAATCAAGGAGCAAGTAGATAGGATCAACTTGGCAATGATAGGGGGGAAAAGAGAAAGAATGAGCACAATACATGGAAGATAAAAAATAGGGAAGATAAAGTTAGCAAGAAATTCATAAAATGGGAGAGGATTCCATCTGCTGAGCACTGGAGAGAGTTTGAAATTGGGGAGATAATTTAAAATCCAGGTATATATTAGCCATGAGGGAAGTGTTATTGGAACCCAATAAGCAATGAGAAAAAGTAAGGGGTCTTGGGACCGGCTGAGGCATAGTGGATCTAATTAGTACAGGATTATGCCCTGTTCAGCACACCTACAGGGAGAGAACCTAAGTGAAATAACAGGGCTCCCAGGTGTGGGGATTGGGAAGGCAAAGAATAGCAGAAGCAGGTAAGGATCTGAGGCAGTGAGGACTTAGGGGAAACAGGAGACAGGAGGGATGCCATGATTGGAGAGAGCACTTTTATTTTTTTATTTTCATTTTTATTTTTTAACGTTTATTTATTTTTGAGACAGAGAGAGACAGAGCATGAACGGGGGAGGGTCAGAGAGAGGGAGACACAGAATCTGAAACAGACTCCAGGCTCTGAGCTGTCAGCACAGAGCCCGACGCGGGGCTCGAACTCACGGACCGCAAGATCACGACCTGAGCCGAAGTCGGACGCTTAACCGACTGAGCCACCCAGGTGCCCCGAGAGAGCACTTTTAGAATCTGAAATTTTGGAAGTAGAACAGTTTTGAGTAACATTGAAGTTTAAGACATGATGAATAATGAAGATTAGGTGGATGGAACCACTGGAATTGATCAGGTTACCTAATTAGGAGGCACTGATGTTGGTGGTTCATCCAGAAGGTTAAAGACCTTGAGGATAATGATAGTGGACAGGAGTGCAAAGACTGACCCTGGTCCAGATGCTATAAAATCCTCAAAGTTGAGAGAATGTTGTAAAAGCCACAAAGGATTACACGGGGAAAGAGAACAGTATAAGCAAACCTCATGATTTGTATAAGGATGGAAGGCCTTGAAGAGTGGTAAGCAGGCATGCTTATAAGACATGCCAACTCCTTTTCCTTAGTCTACAAATAGAAGAAAGGGCAGCCATGTCTAATGGTTGTTGAGGACATGCTATCACCAGGGGAAATGTATGTAGTGGAAGGAATGTAAGAGTTAAGGGGTATGGATATAGGGAAGTGTGTTTATGAAAATGAAGATCAAATCAGTGGAAGGGGCTGGTAGAATAAAAGACAAGAATGGAATAGAGTCAATGGAGGTAGCGAAGGGTTTTCACGTGGGCAACAACCCCGCATGATGGGGATGAAGTGCAGGGATGGAGGGGCAGAGAAGCCCATGGAGTGAGCCTGGGAAAGTAGGCTAGCTAGAGTAGGAGCAGTGCTAACTAGGCAGAACATGGTTAATTATGGAGAAGCCTGGAGAGTTCAACAACCCTATTTATTGCACTAGTTGCGACCATTGTCTAAGTATTAATATTTTCCTGTGAGAACTGAAGGAGCTGGAAAAGGTGGCACACTAAGTTGGAGCCGACAGAAACAATGTGTGGTAATGAATGGTCTCAGATGTTGGCTGTGTTTCGAAAAGGCCTTTCAAAGGGGAGTTTGGCTTACCCTACAAACACTTCCCACCCACCAACCACCATGAACTTATTCGTAGAAGGCAAATGTGATATTTTTATTAGATAACCCTTGGAGAGGAAACTAAAGATTTTATGTTTTTCTAGGACTCTGGGTTTATATCCTGAGGTTGCCAGATTTGGGTATTTCTCTGCTGCTCTCTTGGCTCCCCACTTGATCGGTGAATTTCTAAGTCTTGTGCTACTTGGTATGGTCCAAAACCCAAATGTGGTCAATAGCATGGTGGCTCTGCTCTCTGTTGCTGGGATATTTGTAGGATCTGGATTAATAAGGTAAGATACAACAATTCAAAGGATTTTCATGGATGATTTGTTGTTAATGGTCACTTGATAATGATGTTATAAGGCATTCCAGAGGAGAGCTATGTGATACTGGCTAAAGGTATCACCTTGTGGTCTGGAGTATTTATAGTGCTTGTTTACCATTGTTATTTAGACCTTGAACTGTTTACTATTTGTTCAGTAAAGTGTCTTCACACTGAGGATGAGGAAATGACAGTTGAGGCATGTTACCCATATTTGATTCACATGTAATAACAAGAGGAGGAAAACCAATCCATCCTCCAGAAAAACTCCCTGCCTGTATTGCAAGCTAAATAGCATGCATTTAATCCATTTTTGCCCTGGCACTGTGGTGTCTCTATTCTGGTTCTCAGTTCCCAGTTTCTTTTAAGAAGTAAGAACAGTCAGATAAGAGCTTGTGTGATAAAGGACAGAATCAAGAAAATACTAGGAATAGAGGACACACGCTGAATGTTAACAGAAATTATCTCTGGTAATATTTTTTCTTCATATTTTCCTTTATTTTGTAAATTTCTATAATAAACATCATTTTATAAGCAAGAAGTATATATACACACATGCATACATTTTAAAAAAGCAGTAGCAGAAAGGGTGAAAATTTTTTGAAGGGCGCCAGTAGTCCCAGGCAGGTAATGTGAGCAGGACCTGTAAGTACACTACGGGTCCCTGAGGACGTGTGACGGTGGTTGCTTCTTTGACTTAAACTCACCTCATACTTAACTTTGCTCCAGTCAAACCACTGTGAAGACTCACAGGCCACACGCAGCTCCCTGGAGAGCAAGGCTGCCCGGAGTTAGAGATTTCCTCTAAGCACTTAGCTGCCACATGGGCAAGTCACTTCTATCTACATTAGTTTCCTCACTTAATAAATGAAGCTAATGATCTTGGTCCCACCTTCCTCAGGGGAGTATGAGGAGCAAATGAGATAATCAACAGGAAGACACTTCATAAGCTGTAGTGAGTTCTAGAAAGTGAAGTGTTACAAAGTGAAGTGAGCTGGTTTTGATCAAAGAGGATTATTTTTACACCACCATTATTACACTGTATTTGTGTTGCTTAAGTGGATTGTTAGCATCTATAAAAAATGCTCAAGTCAAATCACCCCAAGGGTATGCAATCAAGCCAGCAAGGTATAGACCCACCTTGGGCAGGATCTCCACTTGAATATTTGAATCATTACATATTCCAGTCCATCTGGCACTGTTTTGTGTTTTTGATTTGTTGGAAAAGGGAATTCATTGTTTGAAAGAGAGGCAGTGGCCAACATTACCAAAGACTCTGGGGTTTTTGCAAAACCTCAATATCCCAAGGTTTCACCTGGGTTCCACTCCCATCACTGAAATGAAAATCTGCTCTTCAAGGACCACATCAACCTCCTAATCATAAAGTTCACATTTTTCCAAGTCATCACCTTTCCTGACTGACTGCCCGCAACATTTCCATTTTTGGCTGTCTCCTCCTTTAAACACAAACAGAAACAGCTTTGTTCTTTCTGCTTACAAAATAATGCACGTTCTTGGGGGGAAAATCTACACAATACAGAAGTGCATAAGGAAGACTAAAAGTTACCTGAAGAATTGCAACCTTCAGTTAAATTTTGTTGTGTATCTTGTTAGACTTTTATATAATCTTTAATAGAAATGAGATTATGCTGTTGTAGAGGAGTTAAGGATGCATTTAACAGTATAATGTTGGACAGTCCCATGTCAGTAAATTTAGATCTATGTTTCCTTCCTCTCTAAAGTACTCCAGGGGCTTCTATAATGTAGCCTGATTGTCCTCCTGTGTCTTTCATGGATCCATTTGTCTCCGTTTGCCACCTGCACGAAGCCTCTCTGCTGGTCCCTTGGCTAGATCAGCTCTCTGGGAGCCTGTCAAGTGCTGCTTAGGTTACAGCCTTCCTTCCTTTTTTTTTTT